AGTGGCCTGGCGATAAATTCGTGGGTGAAAGAGCGCTCACTGCGAACCCGAGGCCAAGCAACGCCGCTCCACCACAGAGGCAGTCCTCGTCTGCGGCGCCTAGTGCCCTTGGTGAAATTTCCGAGGACGAGAACGACAACGAAGAACAAGAACAAGAAGAGACTTGAACCTACGCTGGCGTGGAGACAAGGCCTGTCGTGGGTCTTACCAAATTTTGTTTGACCAAGCGTAGCGAGATGCGCTCGCACCGTGGACACGCCCATGTGAAAAGCAACGAATGAATGAATGACAGGGAAAATATTGAGTGAGGATTACTGTCAGCTTGCTTGATGCGACATCCAAAGCGATGTCGCATCTCGGGCATCGACCCCATTCTTGGGCTTTTTGTCAAGGCTCAGCCTTTATATTTTGTTTCAAAATGTAGATACTGGAGATCATGTGCGTGAGAATGGTCATGGGCTTTGTAAGATAAAAGGCCGGGTTAAAAATGACCTTGGATGACTTATGAATGAAATCAAATAACTCAAGCATATTGTAATACATCTTACTGGTATATCTAAGGCATAACCTATAAAATAGAGAAACGTGAGTGTTGATGAAGTAGACACCTGAGGCATCATTATCTCCCTTCAACCTCAAACTTCGACCCTTTCAACCTTCATCTCTTCATCTCTTCAATTAATTTAAACTTAAGAGCATTTAATACTGCTCTGATGAGATTTTTACTTAACTCAATAACTTCCAAACGGGAATTTGTCAGAAAATTTACTAATGCACCCCCAACTTCCCCACAAATCCACCAAATCCCTCGCACCAAACCTTCCCTGGAGTCAATGACGACGATATGGGGTGGCCCGATCCCAAGCCGGGTAGGTCTTGGCCGTGAAGGATGCCGACGGAAACTTTCGGTCTTCACAGCCAATAGTCAATATTATGTACAAAATACCATCATATTGGTCGTTACCCCCCGCATTTCCTGTTCACCCGGTGCAAGCCGTTTAACAACCAAGCCTCGTACGACATTTCCCTGAGCTGATGTTGGACCTCCACTAGAAGGTGTATAAAATTGGAACTGAGAACAGTCTGACCTTGGAATGGGCCAGTAAGCTTGACTTTATTTCCCCACATTCTACCATGCGTTCATAGCCGGGGTAATTTAAATTGCTCCTTACAAAAAGTATAGGTACGTGCCTGGATCTTCTCATTTCGGGCTGATTTAGGAAAGTGCCCTTAAACTTCCATCTTTTCTCAAAACTCTTCTTACTTCCTCCACCTTCCTGACCCCATGAATAGTGCCGATCGCCTCTTCTTAACTAGATTTTGAATTATTCGAGAATCTGACCTGGTTGACAAGGTGATAAAACTGCAGCATGCAGTTCAAGGTGAGTTTGTACCCATGTACCTCTGCAAATCGTCTAACACTTTGCGTAGTCGTTCAAGTGCGCGGTATTGCCGTTACTTCTGAGTCTTGTGAGCGGCTCTCCCGGAAGTCGTATCACAAGATGCTTCAGAGAACACACAGGCTCTACCTCGGCGGGCAACTTCAGCAACAACCTGTACCAGACCGGCTTCAATGGTGTGACCTGGGATGAAGACAACTGGCTTCTGAGCTCAACCAACTTGGAACAGGGTCGCTTTCAATCTCGAGGATCGGTGGCAAACGGATATTTGGGTATCAATGTTGCCAGTGCTGGTCCTTTCTTTGAAATTGATACTCACGAAGACGACACCAACGGCTGGCCACTTTTCTCTAGACGCCAGACCTTTGCAACGGTCAGTGGGTTCTTTGACTCGCAGCCTACTACAAATGGCAGCAACTTCCCCTGGCTATCCCAATATGGAGACGACAGTGTGATCAGTGGTATTCCCCACTGGGCGGGAATTATCCTGGATCTCGGTGACGATACTTATTTGGATGCAAAGGTCGACAATAAGACCATCTCCAATTTCCGAACCATATACGACTTCAAAGCAGGTATCTTGGTCTGGTCTTACAAATGGACGCCTCGGGGCAACAAGGGATCATACCAGATTACCTATCGTCTTTTTGCCCACAAACTGTATGTCAATCAAGCTGTGGTCGAGATGGAGATTATCCCGACCACGGGATCAGATGCGACCATCGTCAATGTTATCGATGGAGCTTCTGCAGTGCGCACCGACTTCGTGGAGACTGGAGAAGACGACGGTGCAATCTTCTCGGCAGTCCGGCCGAATGGGATTGCTAGTGTCACAGCTTATGTTTATGCGAACCTCACTGGGTCGCTAAATGTGGATCTCTCTTCGCGCAAGATCGTGTCAAACAAGCCATATGTCCACTCCAACCAATCGTCCATTGCGCAAGCAGTGAATGTTAAGTTCAAGCCTGGTCAGTTAGTTCGCGTCATCAAATATGTCGGAGGTGCTTCTACGGATGCCTTTGTTGATCCGAAACAAACGGCCAAGAAGGCTGCCTCCGCCGCGATGAGCAATGGCTACACCCAGTCTCTTCGAACCCATCTCGTGGAATGGGAAAACGTTATGCCCGATGCTTCGGTTGATCACTACGCTTTTCCAAACGGCACATTGCCTGCAGATAGCCACATCATTGATTTAGCAGTAATCTCCGTGGCCAGCACTTACTACTTGCTGCAGAATACTGCTGGCAAGAATGCAGTCAAGGAAGCCGCGGGAGCACCGGTAAACGTGGACAGCATTTCCGTTGGTGGCTTGACCTCTGACTCTTATGGTGGCCAAGTCTTCTGGGATGCAGATGTATGGATGCAACCTGGGCTTGTTGCTTCTCACCCAGAAGCGTCTCAGCGGTTTACCAATTTCCGTGTGGCCAAGTATGCCCAAACACAGGAGAATATACAGACTGCTTTATCTGGCTCCAAGAACCAGACAGATTTCAGTCCGTCAGCTGCAATCTTCCCTTGGACGAGTGGCCGTTTTGGCAACTGCACGGCTACTGGCCCTTGCTGGGACTACCAGTATCACCTAAATGGAGATATCGGAATCTCCTTGGTTAACCAATGGGTTACAAGTGGTAATACAAATGTATTCAAAGAAGAACATTTCCCAATTTACGATTCGGTGGCTACTCTCTATGCGGACCTGCTGGTTCGAAACGGGTCTCATTGGACGTTGACCAACATGACCGACCCTGTACGTTTGGCATCCCATCTATTTGCCGCATCCAAAACTAACATAAGATAGGATGAGTATGCCAATCATGTTGATGCGGGTGGCTTCACAATGCCGCTCATTGCCGAGACTCTCCGACATGCGAACGTCTTCCGTCAGCAATTTGGACTTGAAGAAAATGCTACCTGGGATGAAATGGCTGACAATGTGTTGGTGCTTCGTGAAAATGAAGTGACCCTCGAGTTCACTACCATGAATGGAAGCGCGGTCGTTAAACAAGCTGATGTGGTTATGGTCACCTATCCCCTTGGCTATACTGCCAACTACACTAGCCAAAATTCGCTGGATGACCTGGACTATGTGAGTATTCTGATTTTTGGCAACAAAAAGCTAAACTAACAAGATCTAGTACGCAGCCAAACAATCTGCTGATGGCCCTGCTATGACTTGGGCTATTTTTTCTGTCGTTGCAAACGAAATGTCGCCATCTGGCTGCTCAGCATACACATATGCGCAGTACTCATATAAGCCGTATACCCGTGCGCCATTCTACCAAATGTCGGAGCAGATGGTGGATAATGCTACCGTCAATGGAGGCACACACCCGGCGTATCCATTCCTGACTGGTCACGGTGGTTCAAACCAGGTTGCCATATATGGTTATCTTGGATTGCGGCTGGTAGCAGATGACATCCTCCATGTGGATCCAAATTTGCCTCCCCAGATTCCATACCTGAAGTATCGTACCTTCTACTGGCGAGGATGGCCCATCTCGGCATGGTCAAATTATACACACACGACCATCAGCCATGCCACAGAGGCTGCCCCACTGGAGACTGCGGATCAGAGATTCGCCAACAAAACAATCACAATTCACACTGGCCCAGAAGTCGATACCACCATTTATTATCTCCCTATCAAGGGCTCTGTTGTCATTCCTAACCGACAGATTGGATCTGAGAATACTGTGACAGGCAATCTCGTACAGTGCCGGACTGTTTCCTCTTCGGATGCATTTGAACCTGGCCAATTCCCTATTTCCGCAGTAGACGGTGCAGCCTCGACAAAATGGCAGCCCTCACTGGCAGCTGATGTAAGTTCCGTGACAGTCTCATTCGAAGATGAGGTTAGCGCTTTGGTATCAGGCTTCTACTTCGATTGGGCACAGGCACCCCCGGTCAACGCCACAGTTATCTTCCACAACAAGACTTTGGAAGATCCTGCGAGGGCGCTTTCCGCTGAAAGCTCGGACTACAAAGTTATTTACAGCCTGACCAACATCATTCAATCGAATCCATATGACGAGACCACAAACCTCGAGATCATTGCCATCCCCACGGGAAACACAACAAATGTGACTTTATCATCTCCCGTGCCAGCAGCGCGCTATGCATCTCTACTTATCGTGGGAAACCAAGCGCTTGACTCTGTTGATCTGGAGGCCAAAAATGGAACTGGCGCGACTGTTGCAGAGTGGGCTATTCTCAGACAAGAGAAGACGCACACTTCCTCAGGCCCCAAATCTGCCAACAAGAAGATGGAAGTGCGTGTAGCAGCAGCCGTGTCAGATACGGATGCCTTTATGCGTCGCCGTCGAGTGCTTCTGTCTAACTCTAGAGGCTGATTGACTTGCCCTGGAGTTCCCCTGGATTTTTCCCGAAGCACTCAACAACAAGATTTCCTTGTAAATACAATCTTCTTCTCATTGGTTCTCTACCAGCACTTCACCCACAATACGAATTCATTGAATTGAAGCCTACATATAATCACGCTCCAAAGTGTAAAGTTAGTTGTAAATCGTGCCAAGTTGAACAGTATTCGCACCTATTTAAAATTGATATATCCATACATACAGTCATAACGGACATCGTCTACTAATCAAGCGCAAACCGATCCAAGAACTTGAAGGTCCGAAGTCCCTCCTTAAGATCCTTGGCAAATGCATCCCCAGCGGTGCTACCAGTATACACACCCTCACGGTCCGAGGAAATGAGCCCAGACTGCAGAGCAGCGGAGCCCTTACCCAGCGCACCAACAGTCTTACCGAATCGGAAAGCATCGAGCAAAATATCCAAAGGCCGACCGGCGGGATACAAAGTCGACGCACCAGAAGCCTTATTAGGCAGGGTAGTGAAAGACTTGGAGCCAAACAGACCCTCCGCCCCATCGGCAACAACAAGAGCATCGAACTGAACCGCGTCAGACGCAGAGTACGTCTGATCAACACCATCCACCAACCTCTCCGCAACAACAACGACATCAACACCCGCAGAAGACAAAGCAGACTGCAACTTCGCGCCCTGCGCAATAGAAGCTGGCTTATCCACAGACGCAAGGAGACCAACCTTCAGCCCGTCCAGCTTGGCGAGTTTCTGTCCGAAGGCGCCGATGTTCGCGGTCGTGTTGTCGTGGTAGTATGTGTTATCTGGCTTCGGCGCGTCAATTCCAATGGCCTTTGCGACGCGAGTGGCGAGATCGTTGCTGATGCGGTTCAATTGGATGATTACGTTGTTGCGAACGACGTTGCTCTTCACGTTCGAGGTCTCGAATCGCATCGCGTCGACGATGAATTGCCTCTCGGCTGGTACGAGCGAGTTCCAGAATAGGCGGGGTTGAGACCAGACGTCTTCGAAGGTTGAGCTGACGGTGCGTTGGAGCTTGCCGCTTGCTGAGCGATCAGGTGCGGTGAAGAAGCCCTTGCCCACGGTTTGGTTGGCTTGTTTTGGGGAACCCTTGTTCTCTGTGTTGGGGGAGTAGGCGTTCGGGTTTAGGGGGATGAACATTTGGCCTGGGTTTGTTAGAAAGGGGGTGTTGAGGGTGAGGCTGGGATTATGGTGGGTACGTACCTGCTCCGTCGCGGTTGTTGTTGTGGATTGGTGCGCGGGGACGGTTGATGGGGAGCTGCTCGAAGTTGGGACCGCCGTGGCGGTTGAGTTGGGTGTCTAGGTAGGAGAAGAGACGGCCCTGGAGGAGGGGGTCTTCAGTAAAGTCGATACCGCGGACAATGTGGCCCGGTTGGAACTAAGAAATTAGTATTACTCGCTGGTGATGATAGGTCGAGACGTACCATGACTTGCTCGGTTTCGGCGAAGTAGTTCAAAGGGTTTCGGTTCAGTTGCATCTTGCCCAGCTTAGTGACAGGAACGAGTTCTTCCGGGACGATCTTGGTAGGATCGAAAAGATCGAATCCAAATCGAAGCTGATCCTCTTCCTCCATGATTTGAACACCGAGCTAACGAACAATTAGCAAAAATCGCGATAAATGTGGGGGTTATTACGTACCTCCCATTCGGGGAAACGTCCAGCTTCAATAGATTCGAAAAGATCCTGACGCATAAAGTCCGCGTTTTTACCAGCGGTCTGCTGAGCCTCCTCCCACACAAAGCTAGCCTTGCCCTGCAGTCCCTTCCAGTGGAACTTGACAAGCTTGGTGTTTCCATCGTCAGTAACCAGACGGTAGGTGTGCACACCGAATCCATCAACATGACGGAACGACCGAGGAATACCGTGGCCAGCCATTGCCCAAAGAAGGGTGTGGAGCGTGCTAGGTTGCTGACTGAAGAAGTCCCAAGCAGAGTCGTGCGCGGTAGCAGCCTGGGGGATCTCGTTGTCGCCGCGGGGCTTGACGGCATGAATGAGATCCGGGAAAAGGATGGCATCCTGGATGAAGAAAACGGGGACATTGTTTCCAACAATATCTAGATCCAAATCAGCTATGTCCTTTCTTTGTCAATAGTGGGGTCTATCGTACCAAAGTTTCCTTCATCAGTAAAGAAACGAGTCGCAAAGCCGTGGACGTCTCGCGCAGTATCAGCGCTTCCGCGACTACCAGCAACGGTAGAGAAGCGGGTGAACATTGGGGTTTGTTTGCCTTTGGCGGAAAGGAAAGACGCGCCAGTTATGTTGGACCAGTCGCCATAGGAGGTGAATGTTCCGTGGGCGCCTGCGCCTCGAGCATGAACAGCGCGTTCCGGTACCTTGAAGAAAAGATAAGCTTTAGAACTTCAATAAAAACGCAGAAAACATACTCGTTCGTGATCGAAGCGTTGAATCTTCTGGCGGAAAATGAAATCCTCGAGCAGGGTCGCTCCACGCTCTCCTGCGCTGAGACTGTTTTGGTCCTCGATCGGGCCGCCAACATCAGAGGTCAGATAGACATCTTGGTCCTTGAGGTAGAATTGTGAGAGAAATTCTTCGGTGTTGGCAGCAGCATCTCCGTCAGCTCGACGTTCGATGTGAGGGTTATTGCCGGCCTCGCCAGTCATATAAGGACAGGCAGCATGGGCAATGCCAGCAAGGCCCGTAACGAGGGCAAGTACATGCATTGCGACAGTTAAATGATATAACTGTTGATATAAAGCTCAATCTCAATTGATTTGCCAACAAGTCAAATAAAAATAAAAATGAAAGACCCTGGGCTTCTCTTTATACTCCGGTTAGAATGTAAACCCCGATCAGCGAACTGAAACTGCCTAGTGCGACCTTTGTCATGAGCCAATGGGAAGCTCCATGAAGATGCGATGACGCATAATTCAGGTCCTATTATTGATCAGACATGGGCTGGCCATGATTCTCCAACCAGGAGACGGTTGATTATTTCAGCGTAATGGCCGAGACCAACAGTGTGATGAGATCGAATCACATAGTGGGGCCAAGCTTGGCTGTTGGCCGTCTCCACGAGCCAAGGAGAAGGAGCAGAGATAATATGCATGCTTTGCTCCGAATGGACCGTTGGCTCGTCCCAATGGAAATCCTGCCCTGTTGATCCATAGACGGGCCATAGGCAACAGGCTATCGTGAGAGAAATGGCGAAATGTCAGCTGATTGAAAAACTTGGCGACTCAAATCCGAGTTGGAATAGTCGGACGAGTCTCAAGTCAACCGTCGTGCATAGTGAAGGGGGGGGTCAAGGGGCTGATGTCTTGGCGGTGATTAAGCGTCGAAGGGGAATGTTGGTCGAGGTCGCGATGCTTGGTAATTAGCGAGTGAGGTTCTTGCAAAAACCCACTTGGCGTCTGTTTGGGCTTTGGAAAAAAAGAAACTGTATGTAGGGGATCTGCACCCTAGCGTCAAAACACCATGTCTCGTATGATTAATCTCCCAACTGTACGGAGTACGGAGTATGTTACTCCGTACTCCCTAAACATCGGGAGATATCCGGGCAAACATTCACATTGCAACATTGGAGTCCAGCACTCGAAATTGGGACCTGGAAAATCAACAGGGACGGAGCTGCAGTGTGGATTACCAAGCCCAGCTTCTGCACCTAATCCCTGCTAACGCACATCTCTTACCATTTTTAGAACTCACCTGCAACCAAGTTGGGATCCGTGATGACCCGTTTGTGTTGCTGACAACTAAGATGTTGCATCGGTCTCCGGGGCGGCACAACATGGGTGATATTAATTTTAGATATTGGCAGTCTTGTCCTGCATCAGAAAAAATGCACATGTGCTGTTCGTGGCCAACTATTGCTGGGGTTGCGGGGTGCGACAATGCTGAAAAGAGATGAGACTGGTCTTTTATGATCTTGGCAACTGTAAATTTGATATAACAGTTATTGAAAGAGCTATTTTTGATGTGATATGTGTGTGATAGAACTTTCGGCCGGCGAGTAGACGAGTACCGAGTATTCTATTTTGTAGTGATGAGGGGTCGAGATATGTTTTTTTTTAATTCTTTTTTCTTGGAGGGAGGACTTTTGTTTTCGAATTAGGTAAACTATTGGTAGAGCCGTTTCATTGATCAAATGATCAAATGATCATGTGGAATATCGGTATTGGTTTACCGTGCGAAAAGAAGACATACAGCCATGATGGAAGAAAGTCCGAATGTTCCATTTGACTACTCCTTTTGTCTATAATCCGAATAGCTGCAACTCCGATATGGAGTACAACGTTCAACATACCTCCTAGGAGTAACTATAATCAACCGATGGCATAACATAGATCTATCCTCGAGCCATCGGTGCAATATCACTCGGTTTAGCGGGGTCACTGTGATCCACGAACCCATGCTTCGCATACAATGGAACACCAGCCTTACTAGCGTCGATATACGCCCTAAGACCCTCGCGGTCCGCAATTTCGCATCCCCAGCGAACAAGCATAGAACCTGCCCCGCGACGGCGGTAGTCGGGATGCGTACCGAGCATATCAAGGTCTATCTAGTGCGTCAACAAAGGTACAGTCACACAGCATGTAGCGGCTAGCGGTCAAGGATTAGACTTACAGTAATGCTTCCCATCACCCATCACACGTTTGCGCTCCTTCTCCAGCCCCCCAAAGAAAGAATCACAATCCTGGCCAGGCATGTCCCCGTGCCAAGGCGGGAACCGAGCCCCGCGCTCGTCGGGCATGGCCAGGTCCCATTTCGCATATGCGACTATCCGTGCCTGGTCTTGGGCGTCTTTTGTATTGGGGTCGATGACTTTGAGGTATTTTTGATAGGGCTTTGTGAGCATGTCGCTGCGGTTGGCTGCGGTGAACCAATCACGCGCCCCTGGCGTGTCTGGGATTAGGTGGCGCATGCCGGGATCGTTGAACACGGTGAACCATAGCTCTGTAATGGCGGGGAGGTCTTGTATAGTGGCGGGCTCTAAGACTAGAGAATTTGGAGTAGACATTCTGGGCGTTTTATCTCTTGGTTGTTGTCGAGGGGTAGTTTTGAGTATACAGTGGGGTCGACTGGGCTAGCGGCCAAGGCTAAGTTGATTTGAAATAATCGCAACTATTTGAAGTCTGAGTCAAACACCCAATAATGAAGTACATAGAAGGGAATCTTTGCTCATTGGCGTGTAACATGCAGGTCTAAATCATATAAAACTTTAAACAATAATATTGGAAGTATATCAAATATAAAAAAAGCAGGGGCAACCCCTGTAGGGTCACTCAAGTGTAGTTCCCTTCTTGAGCTAGTCATGTTTAAAGGAGTTATTTATGTACAAGTTGACTCAAAGTCACTAGAAACAACAATGCCAATCTTCTCAGCATCAGGGTTTAGGATCTAGAAGGTGTGGGTCGTGTTTCTAGGTGTCGGTACAGGTGACCCCAAACGGTGATGGTATGCGAGTTTGCGCAAGTGTAATCACATAGGGTGTGGGGAAGAACGCGTATTTCGGTGATAGAGGTAGCGGACTGGTCAAGGCTAGCGCCGAATGAGGCAAGCAGAAGCAGCGAAGATTGTCCGGGCCGGTATCAAAGTAATATCGAAGCAATATATCTTGTGTCATAAACATCAAAGGGCGCATAATGTATAGAATTAAAGTGAGTTCAATATCCACCGCTGATCTTTATTGATCTTTGCGGAAGTCGCATCTTGTCCCCACGTGGCTTACCATGCGGATGACTTGGAAGTCTCAGGTGTTCGACAGGATGAAGGCATCAATTCAATTGAAAACGTATGGAAGCACGGAATAGATTGGACAGAATCCTCCGTGGGCTCACATATATTGCAGTGTTGTTTCGAATTAGCTTGGCGGGAGTCGTGCGACAGTTTCGACGATCCAAACCGATTTAGGTTTGAAGGGCGAGAAGTCAGAACAAAGATCATTCAAGCAGGATAGGATCAGGGGAATGTTTCATAGCCTGATATCCACTTCCCGAATGACGCTTATTCTTCAACGGGTGGCTTCGGCTTGGATTTTCGGGATACGATGAAGCGAGCGAGATTGAGATGAAATAAATTTAAAATTTGATTACGGTTTCATGGCTTTATCTACAATTCATATTTACATTGAATAATAACAAGAAGATTGAGGGGCAGACGGTAAGAATCGACAAGCCCAGGTCCGAGCAGACCGTCCTACCGTCCACAGATTAGCGCTGTTGGAACAACCGTCTCATGTGAGAGGCAACAAGTATGCGCCAACACTATATCGGGCATGTTAGCATTGGATCTTCAAAGAATAGACTGAGTGCACATACGAAATAGCCGCAAAGCAGGCACATAAGATAGCCCCCTCCAAATAATTGGTCTTTCCTTTGAGAACGATGAAATCGACCAAAAGAACAGCTCCAATCAGCGTGACCATTTCGAATCTATCAAAGTGCAAGGTCATAGGTTTGTCGAGAGCCCAGCCAATAAGCACCATTGCAGGTGAAACCAAGAGACCGATTTGAATGGCTGATCCAAGAGCAACACTGATAGCAAGATCCATTTGGTTTTTTGAGGCCACGACAACCGCAGTAACATTCTCAGCCACATTTCCGGCGATGGGAATAATGATCAAACCGACGAATGATTCACCGAGGACGCCCTGGTCATTGAGCGTTGAGAAGCTCGAGGAAAAGTATTCGGCGCATACGGCGATGAGAATTGTTGATAGGGCGAGGAGGCTGACTGATATAGCTCGGCTGGACCTAACAGCATAGCGTTCACAGCTACATACTCCATAGTCTCCGATAGGTGGCTCCGTTTGTCTGTGGAGGCTCGTTCTTCCTTCGGATGGCTCGTTGTGAAATAGTGGCATTGCTGATGCTGTGTGTGCGTCGACTGAACATGATCGTGATCGCACCTCTTGCATCTCTAGCTGCCGAATATCTCTGCTCGTTGCGCTTCCGACCTGAGTGGGATGTGATTCGAGGTCGTCTGTATATTGCTGAGGGTCGGTTGGATGTGGCACTTGAAGCCGTGTAGAGTGGAACAAGTGAGCGTGTGATTTGAACTGGAAGAAAAGGTATAAGAAATAAGTGCCGAGGAGGATGATGGACACCCCCCTGCTGAAGGACAATGACATATGATCAGCAGAAGTGACGCTCTTCACGCTGCCATAGAAAGCGCTCTATGTTTAAGATTAGCACCACATGTAATTAGAATACTTCAAACATCGCCTTACTGGTATCATGAGGCAAGAGATTGTGAGGTTGAGAAGTCCCACAAATGACTGTGTGAGATCAGTGTTATACGTCACATCACTCTTTGAGATACAGCCTGCTATGATTGCAGACCCGAGGACGAGCAGAAGGTTCACAAGGATGGACCCGAGGAGTGATGATTGAACTACTTTAATGTTGTTTTTCATCAAAGCAGTGCTATAGTAGATTAGTTTCGACTCAGCGCCAAGGTAGTCAACTTGGTGCTATATGAAAACTTACATGCTATGTGCTAGTCAGTATATATTGATTGAAAATGGAGGGACTTCCAAGCCTGGGACTCACAAAATAATAAGCTCCGCTAGATTCCCTATGGTGATGTTGAGGAGAGCGCCAGCGGTCTCACCCAAATCCTTAGAGATCCTCTCAGTAGCTTCTGTGAGCGTGATCGACAGCGGCACAATAGCAAGGAGGTTCCAGATGAATATTACAAGCGCCGGGCTTTGGGTATTGGAGATAATGACTGCCGATGCGGCGAATGCACCCGAGAAGACGATCCTGGGACTGACAATCTGTTTTGTCTGTTGTTTGAATATGGAGATTGAATTACAGGGTCTGCCATGATGGGGCCAACCAGACGAACTGCCGTCATTGGGGATTTGTGTTTTGTCGGGTCGAAGAAAGTTTTTCACTTTATGGAAGATGTCGTCTGGGCCGGAATTCGTGGAGGCCAGCTCGGCTTGTCCTTGATAACGATAAGAACTACGTCAGCTTTGGCCAGACGAATTTGAAGTATGGGACTCACTGCTTATTTCATATTGACAAGGATAGGAACCACTAGACCTGGGGTCGGATTCGAAAGAAGTATTCAGGGCGGCATGCTCGTCACTTGAGCTTCCAGCGGAAGTACTGATGTCATGAAGGTTCTTATCGTTGGAACCATTCGCTGTGGTCATCCTGAAAAGGCCCTTGAAAAAGAATGAAAGATTAAAACCACTATATAAATGCCAAAATTGAGGGCGGAATGGCCATCTGAATGTGAAAACGAGAGTTTGAAAATGAGCGTGTGTTACAGGTATGGATTGGGGTTGCGGGAATTGATTATCGACATGCGAGATGATCGCGGCACAACCCCTTTTCCTTGTGGCACGCCTGTGTAAACCACTTCCCAGTTAGCGGCTCTTGGCCATCATATAATTCGATATAACTTCCCCTTATGCAGTGCACAGTGGGTTGTGTGGGGGCCATACACCGCCAGCCTACCGCCTACCAGAGATACACTAGCGCACTTTCCGATCAGCGGAACATTGAAGCAAAATGACCTTTCTTATGATTTATTGCTAGTCAAGTATTTGTGTAAAAACGCTGATAAATCGTATTATCTGAGTCTTGCTTTTTCTTTTCCAATATTGACTGTGAATTTCATAGAATACATGCTATTTTAAGACCGGCAGTACTGGCAGAATCATAGGGCGGTAGGTGAACCCTTACGAAAAGCCCCACTGTACGTTGGATCAACAATCACGTGAGAGTCGGAACTGGAGGTGCTAACCCCAAAGTAGTCTAGAACAGTGCCGCAAATAAAAAGGGGTGCGGATATCAATCTTTTGCAACATAACCAATCCAAAGCTGCTATGCTTGGCCTACAAAAACAAGTTCTGCCATAATATTCTACCCCCACTAGAGAATCCTATCACGACTCACTTAAGCCACAGATCTCCATCTAGAAGGAGATGATGACGGAAATTGTGTGGAGAAAACAAGGTTGGCAGCTCGTTGATGATCTGTTTCTAGCATTGGATGCAAATAATCCCCGCAGGCAGGGATTGACGTATGTAGCGGGCTGACAACCTTCCAAGGTTGGAAATAGACCCATACGAGGCTTTACGATTACGAGTGTGAAAGGGGCTCAGCCCTCCAGGGCTGGAAGCTCCGGCCCATATTGGATGACATAAAACTGGGGCGGGTCCTCCGGAGCATCCATTGCCAAGAAATTTCCTACCTCAGAGTGGTTCGTTTAATCACTCATATCTCCCCAACATGCGTGCTTTCCCAAAGCCAGTAACAGTAGAGGACATTATACTGCAATATTCAATTGATATATCTTTAGGTTAGCGCTTTAAGTGTACTAATGTACCTCCTGGGGGCCAGTGAATATATCATCATAGAGCTCAGATGCTAATCCAGTTTAGGAAATGACCTGTGAGGATATAAAAGGTACTAGTTGTCCATGACACCGACGCAAGATATTCTTTTGACGACTGTCACCACAGAAAAAGGCGGAGAAGAGGCTTAATTCATGAAATCAACTTTTCCATATATAACCGGAGATATTACCTCGCATCCATATACCTTAAGCTGCGAGTTCCCGAATCTGCCCAACCAAATCGACAACAGTCTCTTTAAAGGGCCGATATTTCACCCCCAACTCCCGGGCTACAGTTTCTCCATCAATTCCATAAGAGGCACTCGGCTTCTCACCCATCTTGTAATTTGTTGTCACAGTTTCCTTCGCCCAATCAAATGCATCGCGAATGATATCTGCAGCATATTCGTACGAGAACGGCTCGGGCGAAGCAGCCACAAATCGCTTCCCGCCAGCTTCGGGTGTGAGCAAAGCCTGGACATGCACCTCGGCAAGGTCGCGAGCATCAATCCAACCGGGGACCCGTGCCCTAGGAAGTGGATCTGCACCTGCAGCCACACTCCAGAGCATCATATTTGACTCGTTGAGTTGCTCCACTGTCGGCACGGGGTGCACTACCGGACCGAAGACCATGGGAGGACAGAGAGTCACTAGGTCGAATTTGGTCTTCTGTTCCTTGACAAACTCCCATGCTGCGAGCTCGGCGAACTTTTTGGAGCCGCGGTATGCGGTGACAGAGTCAGATTTTGGATCGATTGCCTCCTCGTATGTCAGCGGATTCCAGTTTGCGGCAGTATACGTAAATCCTGGTGCCGGAGTGCTGCTCAAGTTAACCACTGAGGCGAAGGAGGATGTCATGACAAGTCGCTGGACTTTTGATCCTGGCTGGGCAGAGGCGGAAAGAATCGACTTGACTCCGTTGATGGCAGGCAAGATCAATTCCTGCTCGTTGTTGGTGGTGTCGTAGAAGAAGGGCTGTGAAAGATGTTAGCAAGTTCAGTCAGTCATAAACAAAGAATTGTGAGTTGCCTACGCTCGCTACATGGATGACTGCATCAATGCCGTCCATTACAGAATCGAAAACTCCGATCTGGGTGAAGTCTTCCACAACAACGAAATCAAGCTTTGAAGCGTACTGCGGACGTGCGGCCTTCATCTGATCTCCCTTTTGCTTTGATCTTGTCGACCCTCGGACTGAGAATCCGCGAGCTAGGAGGTTGTCGACGACATGGGCGCCGATGAACCCTGTGGCGCCGGTAACGAGGATGCACCTGGGATCATAAGTACGTATCGCGGAGATAGGAGGAGACCGACTTACGAGGGCTTTTGAGAAGACATTCTTATTAGGTATAGGTTTAATTAGAGGGGTAAGATGGATATTGACAAGTGCTTTATAGGAATGAACTTATTATACTAGTGCCCACCCCGCGTGGGGTGAATATGCAAGCGAGATGATATATTAATATCCACAATATCCACATGACTATTAGTGTGGGGGAGCAAGATCAGGCTGAAAAGGTACGCTGAATAGGGGAGAGTATTTTATTGTTCTATTTGTTGTTTATATCGTCTAGCTATGTATGTATGGATAGTGGACATCAATCGTCACGTATCTATATCTACCACATGATCATCACTTCATCTCATTTTTGCTCCTGTAGTACCTCCTCCGTTGTACGGACGATAACATCAAAGGCATTACGGATATACTTCTCTTCGGCTAGAGCGTTGCCACTAATCACCCGTATCACACAGACGCCATCAACGACTGTAGAGGTGATGAAGATTTCGCCTCGCGTGTTGACCAACTCGGAGATCTTCTTGGTCAGGCCGTCAGCCACTTCATCTTTGGCCACGCGATCAGGCGATCCACTGGCCCCATTAGATACAGCCTGGGGGCTCTTGACACGGAAGACGGTCAAGCCAAAGCCTGGCTTAGTGACAATCTCAAATAGATCGGACCGACCGCGCACTAAACCAGCAAAAATGTCACCGAGATCGATGGTCTTGCGGATGTGCGCTTTCATGCCGTTGAGACCATAGCTTCGGATCACGAACCAAATCTTTAGCGCGCGGAATCTGCGACCGAGAGAGATAGACCAGTTCCGGTAGTCAATTACGTTCCCCATATCCGAGTATGGGTTGCGCAGATATGTTGGTGTGATATCCAATGCGCTCGTCAGATCCAAGCGATTCCGGACAAAGAGGACGCTTGTGAATGTTAGACCAAAGATAAAAATTTGCGCATGGGCGATTGGAGTGAAGAGCTTACCTAGCATCAAAGTTGACTAGCAGCCACTTGTGCATATTCGTGTTGAAGCTGTCAACACCCTCCGCAAAGTCCTTCGCAATATACTGCCACTCATCCGCAACGAGCGACGCACCAGCATAGGCGGCATCAATGTGCACCCAAATACGCTGCCACGCCGGCCTTTCTTGCAGAACTGCCTTGATCTCTGCAAAACGGTCCACACTGCATGTGTTTGTCGTGCCAAAGGTCAGAGTGAGGTGGTACGGGGTAAGTCCGTCCTTGTCGCATTTCTCAAGAACTTCACGGAGACGAGGTCCGGTCATTTCCATGTTATCCTCCAGCCGGGTGGTCACGCCGCGGAAGCGACTGCCTGCAACTAAGGCACCCTTAGCGCCGCTGCTGTGTGTTTGGTCACTGGCAATGACGACTAGCTTGGCTTGGACATCGAATTTGCGGTCGTCGTACTCGGGTGTACCCTCCTTCAGGCCTTCAGCAAGCAGCAGCTCCCGCACACGCCTCTCGCGTGCGGCGACAATAATAGTCGCAATAGCATCACTTGCACTGTTCTGGATCACACCGCCGCCATGGGTCTCCGACGTACTCCTGAAACACTCAGGTAGCGCCAGAGCTTTCGCAACCCAATCCATAACAATCGTCTCCATCTCCGTGCATGCTGGCGAACACAGCCAGTTGAAAGCAGGGGCAGTGAATGTGGCGGAGTACATTTCACCCAGAATGCTGGGGTATGTCACGCAGGCGGGGAAGTATGCCATGAAATTCGGAGACTGCCAATGGGTCAAGCCGGGTTTGATCTTGGTGTCAACATCTTCCTGAATTTTTGCCCACTCTTCTGGTTCATCAGGCGGGTTCTCTGGGATTAGAGGGCGAAGGTATCCGGGTTCGACGGCGGGTAGGACTCGGCGCTCGGGGACGCTGTCGAAGTAATTGATGACTGCAAGAAAATTTGGTTAGATTGAACAATTGAGCCTCAAATTTGTACAAAGACAGGATAGCTCGTACTATCATCGATGGCAGAGTGTGCCGCGGTCTTGAACTGGTCGCGATCCATGCTGCGCGTCAACTAGAGATCTGCGACGCGGGGTACCGTTTTTGTTCTAGAGCTGCAAGTGCGGTAATTGGCGACACAGTAGAATAAAATATATAGAAAATAATTTAGAATAAGAGTACGAGTGGAATTTGTGAGACTGAGGCGGAAGCAAATCTTTTATATGTGGGAAAAGCAGACATGTCGAAGAAAAGGCGCGGGGAGGTCTGGAATTAATTCCGTCGGGACTTCAATTCCACGTTCCGAGTGCGCAAAGGTTTCTTTCCGCTCGGAATATTCCGATTTTCCGAGGTATATGTTTGTACATCCTCAGCCCATCACCCACGGCTCAATCTTCCTCTTCCTTGGGATCATAAATGTCGCCCGCGGGTGTCTTCTCCAGTCTCTTCCCATTTTCTGTTATAATCTCCCTGCTAGGGACAACCACCACAAACATACGAGCAACATCCTTGCCTCGATTCACCCATTCGTGGTTCGCGCCGCGGCAGACAATGACATCGTGCTGATTTAGGATCTTCTCTTCGCCTCCATCTGTGATGAACCCGACAGTGCCGGACAACACTACAGCGTAATCTAAGCTCAGTGTCCGATGGAACCAGCCTGCATTTGCCGGGGGTAGATCGAGGATGCGGCAGGAAGGACCCTTGGTGTCAGCCAGTGGGACAAGAGTTTTGTGTGGATCAGAGAGCTCGCGCATATTGTCCACTGGAAAGCCACGCGAGCGGTGAATCTGGATAACCCCGAACCCAGAGTCAGGCCCCGGGGTTGAGAATGTCGGAGCAGATGTGGGATCGTATGGCGTCAAAATTTCATCGGAAGCGAAATACGCCTTTCCCTGAGCATCGTGGCCTGCGATAACGCGACGAATTGGAGTGTCCATTATATGAAAAATGAGCTGTGGACAAGAGGAGTTGAAAGAGAGTCTCTGAAGCGAGGTGCGGATATGACAATAGAGAGATGAGGCAAGTTGGGAGGCTTGCTGCCTTTATATGCCTTGTGAACTGGTCAAATAGCGGGTCAATGAGACAGAGATGAAGATTACCAAGCACTTCAAAGATTTCGACAGTCATTCATGGATTTTATACGCGCTGTTCTGATTGATAATCATGAGATTGGTAAGATGGGGGCTAAAAATGTATCAAACTGCAAGGACAAAACTTCCAGTCTGACTGCTGGCATAACACTCTAAATCCAGGTAATGATAACATATTTTTTTGATCAACAGCAAATAAGAGCTTCGCTGTTGTTCACTCAGTCTCATTTGAACCCCCCTTGTCGCCTTCCCCGTTGTCCGGATTGTCGTATCCCTCATCATATACCTCTGCTTTTAGCTCCTTCCCTTGAATATTCAACTTCTCCATTGGTAAATACACAAACAGCATACGACACCACTCGGTGTCACTCCGGTTCCGGAACGAATGTGCAGTACCCCTTTGTACACTCACATCGCCACGATGCATATGTCGACTCGCACCCGAGTCTAGCAAAAGATCAACATCCCCCTCAATTATCACACCATAGTCAACGCTCACTGTCCGATGCATCGGGGTCGCCTTTCCCGGACGGAGATCAATTAGACGGAAAAGGGTTCCGTTGTCGACTGTGATTCCGGGAGGTTGATGTAGGAACTCATCGTACATGGCAACATCTGCCTCAGCGTCAACCGAGGCTGGCATACTGGTCGTAGCGTATAGCAGGGCAATCTCGCCATCCTCTCCGGTCGGGGTTGACGGAAGGTAGTCGGGAACTTGTGCATGGGAGACAAATACTGATTCGCCCTCGGTATTGTGGGTGGTGATGTAGCGGCGGATATAGGGAAGTGGGTTCGGCTGGTAAGGGGGCATAATGAGTTGATATAAATGGCATTTGAGAAAGAGACAAGCGGTATTAGATGAGAAATTCATCAAAAGTCGCTTGAAGTTGGGAAGTAGCAAATAAATCCTTGACGAAATACTGTCACATCATGGTGGCATCATTCTATAGATTCCCAAGTAGGATTAAGCATATTTCTGTTCCAAGGGTGAGCCAAAGTCAAATTGCCACACATTCTATGAGCGCGTAGGGCCCTTCGCTATCATCTGCCCAAACTTGTTGTTCAAATGAGTTTCTAACATTCGTTTGTGCCCATCTGACACCTTCATCCTGTCCTTCATACTACTAGCCAATTTGTCGATGCACTCATCTAGGCTAGGGCCACCCTCAAATATTTCCTCGTCCTTTTTAGCAGCAACTGCTTCCTTCCAGAGATCGTTCAAGTCCTCTCCCCACCCAAGTGCATCTGCTAATTGACGAACACCATCGTCGCAACTTCCGAGGATACACACATCTTCATCTCGATTACCCAGATCTCCTGCTTTTTCATTGTTGATCAAAACCCGAGGAATTCCCTTTTTTACTAGACCTGGCAGCCTAGAGCAAGGTGCCACACGTAAACTAGTTCCCATGACAAGCATCAAGTCCGCCTCAAGGACTTCTTTCTCCTTTTGGTCAAACTCAGCCGGCAGAGATTGCCCAAAGAATACAACATCTGGCTTGACCGCACCCCCGCACCCGGTCTTAAGGCAGTAGGGCACTTCACCAGCTAAAATCGCTTTGTTCATTAGATCGTCGGGGTATGGCGACTTGCACTTATAGCAATGTTGACTCTTCCAGTTTCCATGAGCCCAGAGAACCTTGTCAGCAGGAACCCCGGCATCTTGCTCAAGCCCATCGATATTTTGAGTGAAAAGAAAATGGAGCAGATTCTTCTTTGCCAGCAGTGCTAGGAACGCATGGGTGATAGTCGGTTTGAGATTTCCCGGGTGACGTGCCCGGGCGATTGCGTAGAATGGCTCAGGCGTGTGAGAGAAATAATTGATGTGGAAAATTGCCTCTGGGTACGGGAGCCGCAATGGAGCGAGCTTATCATACAGGCCTGTGTTTGGAGATCTGAAATCTGGGATTCCGGCTCCAGTGCTGATTCCAGCTCCAGTCAAGACGACGATTCGCGTGACTTTTCCAGTCTTGATGCGGTCGATGATTGATTTGATGTCGGGGTTCATACTGGCATTTGTATGATATGAGGTCTGATTGGACATGTCTCTAAGTTTGGGTATTGTTTGATCTGGGTGGTGGTTGGAAGTAAATGATTGTTTTGATTTTGGAGCATCAAAACAGAGGGGTATCTGTCGGCGCCTTAATGCCTTAGGTTGCTAGCAGAGCCTCATGATCGTCCAAATCATACATGTCACATGTCCATCTTCTATCTAGCCAGAAATTTTATTACTCGCTTGGCAAAGTAACATTTGTCAACTCGGTAAGCAAGTCTGTCCAGTCTGGTGTGCTCAGCTCAACATTAGCGCTGCTATCTAGCATCTCTGCCCATAAGTCTTCAAGAGGCAATGGAGTAAGCAATGCATCTTCTGAAGGGCACACCGTCAATTGAGCATTGGGCAATGTGATGTTCTTGGGATCCAACGAAGCAGGCGTGGGGATATCCGGCTGTGGGGCATTGACTGTTGCGGAATTTGAATTCGAAGATGCAGAAAGCTCCTGCAAGTCACGAGAGCTTACTCTTTTTTCGTGTTTCCAATGCTTTCGCAAGATACCCATCATGGCCTTGATTCCTTCACGTGCGATGGGCGAGGATTGTTGTGCCCGGCTGAGCATTCGACAGGCATCGAGTACTTCCTCTTTTCGCTTCTCGGCCAGAATGTCGTCCCAGTTGAAACACACATCTATCAGAAGAATGGCAGCTGCCATGAACACGTGGTGCATGACTGCCCATATGACCGAGCTATGCGGTGTGAATACAGGCTCTTCCTCATCCATAATGCGTTTCACTTCAAGCACCTTGCGCGCAGATCGAAGAGCTACGACATGCGAATAGGAGTATTTGGGCTCCTTTGCCCCACGCACTAGGTAGTGGCGATGCAACCGACAGAGCCGTGAATGATAGCCCTGTTGTACTAGAGCTCGCTGCCATGCAAGAGCTGGCCGCTCATGATAGAGCGCTGAGTATTCACGCCGAGAGGTTTGATCAAAGCGAAAGAAACTGGGAAGCTCAGCACATATCTTGTGAAGCTTTTGATCGAGCTCAAGTATCTTCTCATAGGGTACCTCTTGTTCATGGAAATGGAAGTATGCCATCTCGTCCACTATTTGGCGACACACAACAGCCAACTTCGATCGACATAGACTGTATGTCATTGCGGTTGGAGTAGACAGAGGAACACCGTTCTCGATATGGTCGATGTCCTCATCCTCAATATTGAGAGGCTGTTGTACAACCATATGCTGAGGGTGGATCGAATACGTCCACTCTTGTGGTCCGCTCAAAAAGCCTATCAACCTTCAAATATCATCAGTCATTGTATCAGCAAGGTCTCTGTTCACGACGTACCAGTCGTATGTTGCCAAGTCCCACCACAGCCGCCGTTTAAGCTCAACATTTGTTTTATCAAACTCATTCGCTGAGCGTTCGATCACAACCCGAGGACAGTCCACAATATGAAGCCCCATACTAATGGCTTGACTCACAAATGACCTATGCACAAACAGCGGACTGACGGAGGGGGGCACATTCATATTGGACAGATGATGACCAATGACCATAGTCGCTTGCAGTCCTTCGAGGCTGGGATAAGGTATATAATTGCTCTGGATCAATGCAGCCCCTGCCAGAAATGTGTGTTCTTGACTGAATGGTTCTGCGTGCTCGGGTGACTCTATCAGAAGTTGGTAATACAGGGCGGCAGCAGTGATAGCAAACAGTAGCGCGGTATGAGCCAAATTGATGGACCCATTCCGCGCAACATGCTCATAAATATTCTTAATCTGTTGCTCCACATGTCTGGGTATGATGAGATGATACTGAAAGTCTAGGTATTTGCAATAATACCGAAATAGACTTAGGGCTTCTGCTAGCGGTGGCAGATATGACGGCAGATGGATAGTCGCCGGATTTTCGCGAGAGGCGAGCCGTTCGCACAACGGAGGAAATTGACCACCAGGTGTGGTATTTTGATGTGAAGGCGAGCGGTTGGGTTCCCGGTGCTGAGATAGCTCAGCCCTTAGCGTGGCAGGAACTGCACTCGGGACGCGGTGTCCCATAACAATCGTCTCAAGCCAATCGGCTGTTAGAAGGGGCTCATTTCCATTGCGGCTCTGTGTTTCCCTGTCCTGCTGTGGAGTCCACTGCAAGGTTCGAGGTGACGCAGACATGCGCTCGTCCAACATGGGCCTCTGATCTGCTTGGCTCATGTGTTGTACAGGTGTTGTCCCCGAGACATAGCCGCCATAGCTGCACTCCAGTCTCCGCGCAGAGCAGCTACTGCATGGAAGCTGCCTGTCGCACTTCAGCTTCTTCTTTCGACAGGACTCACAGGAAACGGGGTCTTGCCGAGACTGTCTCTTTGAGCCTGGGGTGACGAATCCAGAATCTGGCCTTCGCTTCATCTTGCAAATCTCACCGAAGACACTTGAGCAATAGTTGGAACGGCGAGAGCGAAAAAGATTGTACGATCGGCGTTTGTTTTGCGCAGGAGACTGTAGATGTTCGTCTGGAGGCTCCGCGGACTCTCCGATACGCTAAACCATATCCGGCAATTCTGCCTCCGGGCAGCATCTAGACAGTTGCCCGGAGACTCCGAGCGCGATTCTTTACCTTGAGAATTTAATTAGTTGAATTTCTTATAAAGATCATGGCGTTCCGCAGTTCTTTTGCTTCAAATCAGAGCCATTTATTTTTATAGTGCTCTGCTCATTTTCCTGGGCTTGAGCTTCCTATTGACCAGCAAAATGTCACAAAAGGATAGCCATCCAACTGAATTCTCGTACGTGAAATACGCTTCAAGCTATAACATAGCTGATCTCTGACTCTTCTAGGCCCCGAGCATGGCTTGCCATATTCGGCGCCTTCACGTGTGCGTTTTGCACAGTGGGCTTCATGAACTCGTTCGGTATCTTCGAAGAGTATTACACGAAGAACCAGCTATCCTCAAGCTCCACATCTACCGTCGCATGGATTGGGGCTATTTCAATATTCTTTCTGTTTTCTACATCTGTCGGGGCAGGAGCAATGCTTGATATTTTCGGACCAAAGGTAAGGATTCTCCTTCTCGATGATTGGGAGAGAAACTCATGGTTCCTTTGAACAGCTTATGGTATATGTTGGCTCATTCGGGTGTGTTTTTGCACTTATGATGACTTCGCTTTGCAAGGAGTTCTATCAATTCTTGCTCGCCCAGGGTGTCGTATTTGGTATTTCCATGGGTCTGGCGACATGGCCAATGCTCGCATTGGTCGGACAATATATCAAATTGAAGCGTGCTGCGGCGATGGGGATTGTTCTTGCAGGTTCCTCGCTCGGTGGGATTATCTGGCCCATTGTAATCGACAGATTGATCAAACATCCCAGCATTGGATTTCCCTGGACAATGCGAATTGTCAGCTTTGTCATGATTCCTTGCTTTATCTTTTCTTGTGCAGTGGCCAAATCTCCGGATACACCCAAGACGAATTTGGAGAGTCGCGATTCAAGCCAGCGAAGTGACGAAATTATCACTGAGCAAAAGGACATACCGCAGAGTCACAAGGCAGAAGCTCTGGCCCTTGTCCGAAAGCCATCGTTGCAGCTACTGTGCCTCGCGGTGTTCATCATATACTTTGGCATGTTCTCGCCGTTCTTCTACACAACTTCCTACGCAGTTGAGAAAGGATTCTCGACATCTCTGGCATTTTATACTGTTTCCATTGTGAATGGTGCTTCGTTCCCCGGGAGAGTCCTCCCTGGCATCATTGCTGATAAGTACGGAAAATTCAACTGTTGCATCATTGCCACCATGTCCGCAGGGATTATTGCATTGTGCTGGACTAAGGTGACATCTGTGGCCGGCCTGGTAATTTGGTGCGCTGCATACGGCTTTGCGTCCGGAGTGAGTAACTCTCGAATGATAATAACCTTCAAATACTAACTAGAATTGTAGGGAATTCTATCCCTCCAGCAAGCTTGTGCTGCTCAGGTTGCTACTTCTACCACTCTTGGTTTGGCAATCGGGACTGTGTCAGGTTCTACAGCTCTATCGTATGACCACAATCTCTCGGAAAGATAATGTTAGATGCTGACACAAATTACAGTGCTATGGCAAATGTGCCCATCAGTGGTGCTTTGGTTGAAAGATATGGGTATCTTTCCCTGTCAATATATTCGGGGGTCTCCTTGCTACTTGGTGGCGTCCTTTTGATTGCTGCGCGTCTGGCACAAAATAGAGAGCTTCGAGCTATTGTCTAGTATTTTGCCATGAGGGCAGGCTTTTGTTATTCTATTCGATACTCCAGCTTATTATGTGAAGGGTGGGTTTAATACAAGGCTATCCTGCTAGCGGGACAGAGCCTTTGGAACCGTGGTAATCTTGTTCGGGCATGACTGTGGCTCGAAAATGTGTTATTTGAATATAGAGTTTCGATTCAAATCTAATATAAACTCCTTAATTCTATCTGCTTACTTAGTCAAGAGGTAAGAAAAACCTTAATTTTTAGAAGTATCATTTCTCTCGCTTTGCACTATTATGATAGATTTTACTGCTTACCGATACATATTCTCTGTATACTACCTATTATATTGACTTATCTTTTATAGTGATAGTGGAATTCCCCTAACTGCGCTAAAGGGGAAAAGAAGAAGAAGAGGGAGAGAGAGCTATTTATGTAGCTGCTAGTCCTGATATATAGGATTAGGTGATCTTAACAGTTCCAACTCTCTGTTTATTATTATAGAATACATTTATACCCGAGGCAGATACATAAGTTAGTCACTCTATAGGTTCGCACTGGCAGCCTAGCCTGAGGTACTTTTATTAAACTCCTGAGTTCCCTACTTTGAGATAGTTTAATCCCGCTAGGGCCAAACATATATTGCCCTTTTTAACTTTGTAGATATTAATTATATATTCTATTAGCCAAGGGCAGCAGATAAAAGTGTAGTATGTTTCCTACATTACAACAAACGTGCTATTTAGGCATCAGATTAGAGCACAAGTTTATGAATTTATCGTACCCTCCGCGCCCCTTACAGTTTTCTAATATCTGGAAACTGGGTTTGGGGTAGAGAGTGCTAAGGAGATATATTTATTCCTATATGACTATTCCTTAGGTGGCCGTAAATTCCGGGGCTGAGATTTAGCAGAATATATTACAAAAAAAGAAAGGGACAAACTCAATAATTGTCCAGCTATATCCTGTTTACTAAGTCTAACGACACTCTCAATGTTCCTACCTTCCTATATTCCTTCCACACCTCATATTATATGAAACATATTTGTAACTCACTTTTAATCTCGATTTCAATCTATCTAAATCTCATCCAATGCCGATTCAGGCCAATTCTTATGATAATAGGCATTTCCAGATTTTCTGAGCAAAATCTACGTGGTTGTGTAAATAGTCAGGAAATAAATAACAGTCGTCGATAGCCGGTAATATATATAACCACATTATCAAACATATCCCGCGGGATTTGTTTTGGAAAAATTTTCAATTGCTAATAGCTTTTGAATTTGGAGCATGTGCGAAGTAAATGCTCGAAGTGATTTTCAAGGCAAGCTTTTCTTGGTGCCTGAGGAATCAGGTGTCATCTGGGCTTCTGCAATGTTTGTGACTTTTCTTTTCTCAGCTTGGCCGGCCATTCCATCCTCTTTTTTTACCCAATCAGAGAAAATGATTATCCAGATGGACAACAGTGGTAAATTTCCACTTCGGGTCCCTGGAATCAATGCCATTCCTGTGAATTATGAGCTCGACGTCAATGAGCGGTTCGCCCATGGGCCTCCCGCACACTCAAGAAACAAGGGTCACACCCCGCGTCTTACAAGGCCTGAAGTATTGCTCCTTCGTCTCATAGAACATGTGACCGACAAGAAAAACTGGGAACAGGACATCTTTGATGAAAATGTGGTCACCGAGTGGTATACCGAAGCCAAGTTAGACTCAACGCTGGGAAGCGATTCAAGATATGAATGGGACATCGATTTCAATATGGACTTGGTTTCGGCAAACACCTGGAACTGGTGCATTCAGGAGCTTCGGGATAAGGCCCTCCATTCCACCAAGAAGGGATATGTCCTCATATTGAATGCCGATTCTGGTGTCTGCAAATCCGATCTGCTAGTTGCAAGCAACTTACAGGAATCTTTGCAAGACTCACTTGGTCATATATTGAACCGTCATTCAAAGCTGCCTCTAAAAGAAAAAGATCTGGGCTCCATCCTTGAACTGGTCGACCCGTCACTTTTCATGCTCGCCTACGGTCGGACTGCTGTTCTGAACCAAGGAGGTCAGGTCCGCATGAGCGAAAAATGCATCTCATTCCCAACGACTGAACTCAACGTTCACATCCCGACCACCCCAGAACTACACCCTACAACAATAGGATCATCACTTTGGTCAAACAAGTTTCAGTGATTGCCATGCGAGGTCAAGTTTGAGGACGAGGGTAAAGTGATGCGGATTGCGTCCTACATCAACAACCTACACCCAAAACATACCAAAGCATATGCGTCAATTGAACAGCTCATCAGCTTAAGCCTAGAGCCCTGGAATGATGTTTTGAAGAAAGGAACAACAAGTCGATACCCGCTACGCATCAAAACATTCGGGTTCGAAGCCATTGAGCCTGACGAAATATGGGGCACATTTGAACCCTGGCTCTGGAAAGACAAGCTGCCTGGTGGAACCTGGACACAAGAGACATGGGATGATTATTGTATCAAAGCAAAAGAGTATCTCTCATTACCGGAACTTGACCAGAAATACCGTGTCCAGCACCAGGATCCGTGGGAGCCACAGGATGAACCAGAGGATATAATTGGCTCAATTACTCCCAGTATGTGCGAGTCATGGGAATCAGCGGACCTTTGGAACAAACCAATAGAATGGAAGTGGGAAAGACTACATACATTCAAGTACCCAGAGGCTGGGGCTTCTTACTCCTACGAGGATTGGAAGAGCGGAAAAACAGCCAAACCGTTCATCGATAGAAGGGAAGACCGTGGCGACTCTCCGCACACCGATCACATGTACCAGTCCATTTCACTACAAGATGATTTCCGTGAGCAGGGACTTCAAATTGTTATTCGCGTGTCCAGTATCGATCTCACGCCAGAAAACCCGTCATATCAAGGAGATGATGATTTCCACGTGGATGGTCTACGGAATGAGCATATCGTCGGTGTGACAAGGTACTACTACGACGTTGAGAATATCACCGATGCACGTATTTCCTTCCAACAAGAAGACGACATCAACCCATTCGAGTTTAGACTGGGTGTTGACGCCATGCACAAGATATTCGGACTCCCGCTCTTCGAAGGAGAGGAGTACCGTCCACGAAAGCTTCAAACATTTGGCTCGGTGGGCACAAACCAGGGTCGATTCCTCGCCTGGTCCAATAGCCTTCGTTACAAAACAAGACCATTTACACTGGACGACAAAAGTCGACCTGGTCACCAACGATTCATTTCCCTTTTCCTGGTTGACCCTCATTACCGCATCTGCTCCACTCAGAATGTACCCGCTCAACAGCATAAAGAGTGGCGAGACGCAGTTCTCGGTGAAATGGCCTGTTTTACCAAGTTGCCTCAAGAGATCGCAGACACAATAATGGACCAGACGGGAGATTGGCCTATCGGTACGGCCGAGGCACAGAAATGGAAAGATGACTCGGAAGCGGAGCGACATCGCGCTAGAGAAGTTCAATCTTCTGAGGTGGGCTATTACAGCTTTTGGGCACCTATTGAACACATGGAGGCGGATATTGTAGTTAGCCCTTCAGGGACGCGGACATGTCACGGTGTACCTGTATAAATCCGGCCACCAATTATTATAGCACAGGTTAAATTCAGCAAATAGCAGTTTGGGTTCACTATATCGGTAATTTTGTCTTCGTGCTTTTTTTGCTTCCAGGGCGAGGAAGATGGTTGACTAGCTGTGTGTGGCTGAATGATCTCGGTTTTAGTGGTTAGTTGAACTGCTAATAAGCTAGCCGGCGGTGGAAATTGGTGGCGTACCAGCCAGTTACACTAAGGTGCAGGTTCCACATCGGGCAAAGTTGCCCAGTGTGTAAAAATTGAGTTACTTAATCGGGAAGAAGACACCCGTGGATCTGTTGTATGTCACTTATACAGCGCTGAATTCTCTATCAGGGCCCTTCATTTCAAGGTATCCCTACTAGTGCCTATTTAGATTAGCGATTTAAGATTCTAGTTTCTAAGCCGCTAAACCAGTAGGTAAATAATTCATTTGTCCTAGCCTCTCATCGGCGCGATATGCAAACTACCACGACTATATACATTCATCTACACATGGACATACATAGACTGTATCACTTCTCGGAAGAAGGGTATTACCGAGGACTTTCAATAACGGGGTTTCGTTCACTTTCTTTGTGGCCAGGCATCGTACAGTCCCTCAAAGACCGTCACATCATCGAATGTCGCTTCTCCCACTCCGTTGTGGAAGAAGTTAATTCCAGTGGAGTTGGCGTACCAAGACCTACAGGTTGTTAGTTGTTGACCAATATTCAGGAAACAAGAGTAACTTACCGAGCCCAAGTGCCCAGAGCCAAGCGTCCATTGGCATAGACTTCCAGTACTCCATTGTCCACCACGATAGTGAGCTCCAAAGTCTCAATTTGTTCCTTTCCATTTTTCAAGACGTCGAAGAGACGCAGACGGCCGGCCTCGTTATTACTGAGAATTCCATCAGTTGTTTTCGACGCGGCACTTGTGTTGCTACGGTCGATGATGATGGACTCGTTGGAGAATTGGTAGTAGATAGTTGTAGACTCAAGAGCAGAGGACAACACCTGGAAACCAGCTTGAATACCAGAGTCGCGAGCGGAGGCCGGGAAAGAGATATTGGCTGTCAGAGCGAAGAACTTGTTTGAGGGTGAGGTTTTGAATGGCACCGGCCCAGCCTTCGACAATGTCTTACTAGGCTCGACAAACGACGAGCCAGAAGTGAGAGCGCTGTAAGTCTCCCTGGCGATTGAGATTCCCATTGTTTCGAGATCGAGCTCGCCAGAACCTTCGCGGGCCACACGCCACGAAGTCAAGGACTCGCGTGAAAGTTTGTTATCCACCACGTTAGGGATGGTGCGGATATTCAGCTCGCGCGGCAGCAAGAGAACACCGGTCCAGTTTTGCTGAGCGGTGGGGAATCCCTTCGCCAGCTCAAATAGATCTCCGGTGAGCCAGACGTAGGAAATGAAACGATCGGGGGCACCGCTCTTCTTGGATGCCTGAGAGCTGGCTGGCAAGATCTTGCCTGCAGCAGCATACGCCGACAGACCCCAGTCAAGGACACCGGCCATGGTTGGCTTGAAGGTGACAGAGTCGTCATTTGTGACGTTTCCGGTCACCCACAACATATCGTGAATGGAAGAGACTTGCGGAACAATGGGGAGTCCTGAACCCTCAGTACCGAGGGTCATGAAAATTTCGCCATCTTCACTGTAGCCCTCTGTATTCAGACCGAAGGCGTTGCCAACCTCGAAGTTGAAGCCCCATCCGCCAGCCCAGTCACCTTTACCCCAAGTGGTGTTAACGGGCTCATTCCACCATTCACCGAGATATTCCCAATATTGGAGATCTGCGTCATGCTGACGGTAGAGGAACTGGCAAGGGCCGACATCGTGGACACCGCCAGAGATGGCGACATACCAGGTTCCCGTGGTGCTGTTGACAGATTTGTCCAGAATAGAGCTCTGGAAAGCGTAGGGGTCACGGAAAGCGGTGATATTGAGAGCAAACGGAGGCGTAGGGATCACGGGGCCTTGGTTGACCTTGGTGAAGTTGCGTCCACCATCATAGGAAATAGCCAGGGATTGTGTCTCGCTTCCCCGGGTGTAGGGGATAGACCAATGAATTGGAAGGTACGAGACAGAGGTGTACAAAAGAGTTGGCAGGCCATTGATGCCGCTTGGAATGACAGAGCCATCGAAGACAGCAAGGGGATCGTTCTTTCCTCCGGAGACAATTACTGGAGCTCCATTAGGATTGAGATCTTTATAGGTAGCGAGATCATCGGTTGTAGCTCCTGCAATTCCATCGTGCAGCCAACCCACATGGAAGAGACCAGTCTTAGGATCAGTGTAATGCCCGCATGGGTCGCCTATCTTCCCAGAGGGAGGGAGGAGATGGGCTCTGGGTCTCCATGTGTCGAAAAGGGTAGCATTTGCCAAGGTAGAAAGGTTTGGCGGGGCTGAGTTGTAATCAAGCGGGGAGTTATGGAGATTGATAGCCAATGCCCAGTTTGCCAAACCCACGGTGATTGCACTTGAGAGCTTCATGGTGTAGATCTTGGATAGCTCCTGGAGCTTTCCACGAGATATAAGGACTTTTATATTTCTAATTTGGCCAAAATAAATTGACCGAGATTAGGTGAAGACAGGAGCCAATAGAAAGATCGTCTTCATCAATATGGGCCAAGTTATGATGTTCATTTCCTCTTTGGATGTAGTCGGCAGTTTCCGTGACCCAACGGTAAAACCGCGGGGAAACCCCGGCTGACAATTTCCCCGATGCGAACAAAAGAACATGGAGTACAAGGTTCAATGGCCCTCTTGCATACTCTGGAATCCTGTGGGATTCTATGAATCCGAACCTTGTCTCGGTTCTAGGGAATATTGATATTAAAATAAGAGTCATATAATAAAGGATTAGAAGATGCTCTTCAGTTCCGGGGCTCATACAAGTTGACATTGATTCAATGTTAGGCCTGGTAGATGCCCGTCTGGGGGGATCAATAAAGCCCGAGCTTCTCCACTAGCAGGGGATACATGCAAGTAGGTAACATCCACAATGTGTTCCCATCACACTGTATCATAAGATCTGGTGACACGTCAATGACGGGCATGAAAGGTCCCGAGGTTCCGGCGTTGGGACTCATTTACTTTCTTATTGGGATTTAGTTGAGCTTGGCAGACCTCCCCCATGCAGAAATCCAGACTCTTTGGTCGTTCCTTCCCTGCGTCTTCAGCAATTTAAACATGCCAATAGTGGGACGGTTAATGAGGCAATTGCAATGTTAAGGAAGGCACATCCCCGAGCATAAACCCCCCCTCGTCACCCTAGGAATATATGCACTCCCTATGTAGGTACCGCCTGGGTACTTTGGAACTTATCACACCAAAGTGATATTTCGATCTAATCCTGGCAATAGCTTACGTATCCACATAGGTGTATCAGTTGTATTTTTACCTTCCTCATCTGTCTTCTACCAGACAGTATCTCGGTCGTATCTCGGTCAATATTGATACCATCATCCACTCACAAGACCAAGACCAAATCAAGTAATGAAGAAACAAAACCAGGGCAGATCAACCCTGAGAAGGAGCAAAAGTCTAATCCGTTTTTGGTATGGTCTTTTGAGATATACTTTCAGGTTCTTTGTACATGTCCTTTCTTTCGATATTCTTTTCTTCTCGGTATTATAACTAGAAACATGGCCATTGATATAGAAGAAAGGTGTGCCAAGTTTATCACTTTATGACGACATACAAAAGGAATGAAAAGCATTAACCATACAGACGGCCTTAATATATGCAGCCCGGGATAGGGTCTGAACTAGTCCTTCTATCCACATCCTACTACTTTCTTCCTATAGTTCCCCCTAAACTATTCTACTCCATCGGCTTTCGTGCAAACAACTTCATGATATGCTCACTACCACAAACAGCAGCAACATCTAAACTAGTCCGCTGGCGTGCATCCTCAGCCAAAGGATCAAGTCCCCGATTCATCAGAATCTTGAAACGCCGGACCACATTGTACGGGGGCTTCGCACCACGCCAGTCACCCGCCTTCTTAGTGGCCAACAAATGCAGCAGTGTGGAGCCTGCATTGTTTCGTGCGAAGAAGTCAGCTCCAGCCTCATCAAAGAGGTCGAAAATGGTCTCGGTGAGGTCATCCTTTTTTTCGTCACAACCGCAATCCCACGAGGTTTGAGGAGGTACCACGCCATTCTCTATATATTTGAAGAGGGGTGTGTCCCCTTGGAGGTTCCGAGAGTTGATATCCAGACCCGCTTCTATGAATCGCTTGAAGTGAGCCTGGGGCTTTTCCTCGTTCAGGTACTCAGCCAAATGATGAAGCGCAGTGTTTCCACTGGGATCTAGCTGGAGAGGATCAGCACCCATTTCAAGAAGATCATCAATAAGACCGAATTTCCCAGAGATGAGGGTGAGGTGAAAGAATGTTTCGCCCTTCTTGTTGGGCTTATGGAGGAGTCCCGGATTTTTTATCATAACCCCCTTCAGGATTTTGAACAACTCCGAGTCGACAGTCACAGAACCAATATCATGGAGGATGGTGTTCCCATTGTTGTCCTGTGCCATCACATCTGCACCGCGTTCTATAAGCTCTTGGAAACCCGTTTTTGTAATGGTTATCCCAGATTCAATAAAGTCCACCTTAGTGTTCAGTGTCATACAGCTCTTAGAAGCTGCAAGAAGTAATGTGCAACCGCTTGAATCCCGTCGTTCGAGTTGCAAGGATGGTAATTGAAAGAACGGCCCGCTTAGGTACTCTGATTTCAAAATTTCGTGGATGATAGTGCGTCTCTGAGGTTCAATTTGTGATTGCGGTTGCGGGCGCGAGATATCGGGCTCATCCAGGTCTGAGTCTGATTCCACCGTGTTGTACTTTTTAGGACGTGAGAGTTCCCCTACAAATGTAGCAAATGGGTCTGCGCCGTGATTGAGCAGTGTTGTCATGATACGGGCGTCGAGCAATTTTTCATCCACATCTTTTGAACGTGATCGTGGCTTGTCATAGTCAAAGCTACTGGATCGCAGTGCAGGGATAGTGGCGAAAAGAAGAGGCGAGACCTCAGAATCAAGAATGTTGAGCCTCCATTCGCTTTCTTCCGGAGGATTAACTGGGTCAGATCGCCTGACATTCGCGTAATCACCGCGTGATAGCAATGTTTCCAGGATCTCGATTTCGCCCATTTCAATCGCAGAGAATATGGCTACTGCGCTAACATGGGCGCCGTGCGCTATGAGCAGCTTGGTGATCTCTAGATCATTACTGGCTTTTGACAAACATGTCTCCCCGTTGGCATCCACGGCATTGACGTCTGCGCCGCTCTCGATGAGAATTTGCACGGCATTTCTGCGGAAGGGACCATGCTTGGGATGCATGGCTGCATGTAATGGTGTCACTCCATCATCACCACGCAGTTCCAGGTCTGCCCCCTTTTTGATCAAATACGGTAATGCTTCGTGAACATGCCACCAGCTGCACCCGAGTGCGAGCTTATGAAGGGCCCCTCCGGCGACTTTGGTCTCCATTGATTCTGAGCTTTCTCTGAATTGAGCGTTGAGGCTGACGCCGAACTTCTCAACAAGCAATTTTACAACATCCATGTTGGGTAAATAGCGGTCGCATGCAGTCACCAATAGAGGCTCAGCATATTCTCCACTGCATATTATCTTCTTTTCTGCTTCTCGGCACCAGTTGTGGTCATCAAACCTCAATGCAGCGTCCTTATCGCAGATACCTTCCAGGAGCTCTTTATAGCCCCAGGTCACAAGAGAATGCAACAAAAAGATCCTGTTGCGATCGAGTTCGGATGAGTCAAGATTCTTTGCCCCCTCTTCAAGCAGATCATAGTGCCTAGTAAACATTAAGTCTCTCATGAAGGTTGTGGAATCACGTCTACGGAACAGAGAGATATTATCAAGGTCGCCGTATTTCCTCAACGCCGCTTTTGTCGCATCTAGTCGGCTTTTGGAGATCAGATAGTTGAGCCCATAATGAAGGTAGCATTGCTGCGCTTCGGGAATACGATATTGCAGTCGTAAGAAACAGTCTACCGTGTATTCGTACTGATTCGAAATGGCCTCATCAAATGCCTTTTGAAGACAATTGTCACTAGGCGAGAGGACTCCATAGCGAACAAGTAAGTCCAAAATTTCATCCAGACGAACTGTATCATGCTCTGAATATTGTGGAACGTGAATCTCATTCCTATGAGGGGGGTCAAAGAACGGCCGTTGGTGATCGCTGACTAGAACGCCAGCTGCATTAAGGTAGTCCGTTCGCGTCGCCTTTTTATGACTGCTCCATAGTTTTTCTTCTGCCTCGAACTGTGCACATGCTCTTAAAGGTGAACGGTTTCCACTGTCCAATATGGTTGGGTCTGCGCCGGCTTCGAGCAATACTTGGACGGTCTCAGGGCGGCCCGAACGGCAAGCATAGTGAAGAGCTGTTTCCCCTTCTTTAGTTTGTCGGTTCACAAATGCAGTCCGATCTTGTACCGTGAGTTCTGCTAGTCTAGAGCAGAAGAGAGCCACGATGTTAGGCTGGCGGGTCCGAGCTGCGATATGGAGCACTGACATCCCTTCGTGTGTTACTTTGAACATGTCTGCACCAGCGTTGAGAAGCTTGACAACATGAGACTCGGAAATTGTAGCGGCGAGATGCAAGGGCCGGACACCGTAGCAATCACTGGGATCTAGGTTTTTGCAAACTCCAAGGACATAATCCCAGTTATCTTCTTCTGTCGATGAGGATGAAAGATTCACGCTAGAACACAGCACATGTAGAGTGGTCCTACCGCGATGGTTTGGTTGATCTATGTCCAAGCCAAGTGCGACCAGATGTTTCATGATAGCAGGCTGTTTGTCGTTTTTCTTGATAGCAGCAATCTCGATCAAAAGCGAGTTGCCTTGGTGATCTGGGGTCAAAGGATCAAGGCCGAGACTTATCAGATAGTCCAAGCGATTGGTGTCATTGCAACAACGATGCAAGAGAGTTCGGCCGTTGAAGTCCCGCGTATCGAGGCAAGCGCCTAGCTCAATAAGTGTTTTAAAAGGTTGTTCATCCCCATTCGCATGTTTGAAAAGAACTGTGTGACCATCGTGATTTCGGGCTTCAAGGTCTGCACCCGCATTAACGAGCTCAGAAATGAACGAGCTGTGTTTACCACTCGTGGCGTGCAAAGGGGTATTGCCTTCATTGTTCATCGCATTTGGATTGGCGCCCAGAGATAGCAAGGCATCGATAACACCACCATGATTCTCATAAATCGTGAAAATTTTGTGTAGCGGACCATTGCCCAAAGTGTCAGCGATATTGACATCAGGTTTATACTCCAAGAAAGCAAGTACTCGGTCTAGCCTAAAGCCCTGAAGCCGACATAACAATGGGGTCTTCCCAGTCTTTCCAATGGCCTTGTTGATATCAACCACCCCTGTGCCCAAAAGCACAGGAAGCAGTTCTGCGTCTCTCTGTCCTTCTGTGTGTAATGGTGTGGCCCCAGAATCGTCTTCTGCCGTGGGATCTGCACCCGCTTCGATCAACTTCTTGACCACATCTGCTTTGTGGTATTCGCAGGCATAGTGCAGGGCCGTTTTACCGGTAGGACTTCGTACATGAACATCGGCCCCTGCCTGAAGCAGGAAATTTACGCACGCTGGCAAGGCTTGGCCTCCACGCTTGCCGGATCCGCAAAGGACATGTAAAGCGACATGCCCCCTTTCAGGATCTTCTGGGGTCTTTGAACTGCGCATGACGTACATTCCTCTAGCAAACTCGCTTCTTGCATTTTCACAAAATATGTTTGGATCGGCTCCTGCTCGCAACAGCGAACAAATGGTTTTTTCATCTTCTCTGAAGCAAGCTCTAAAAAGAGGAGTGTCTCCTCGATATGTCGCGTTTACATCTGCACCTGGCTGTTGGATGATCAACTCAACCACTGCACATTGCCCCGCATTCGCCGCCCAGTTAAGGGCTTGGACAGAACCGCAAGTGTTTTCCAAGAAGGGTAGGAACTCAGCTACCGTCTCGACGTGGCCATTAAAACATGCGTACATGAGAGGAGTATGTCCTCGTGATGTGGGTGCGTTCCCACACCGCCTTCCGGGTGCCTCCTGCGTCTTGGGGGTGAGCGGGTCAACGCCCGCAGCGAGCAAAAGTTTAGCCACTGCAGCGTGATTCTTTTTCGCTGCCAGATGTAGTGCGTTGTATCCTTCTTTTTGTTCTGCGTTGGGGTCAGCTCCGTTGGCGAGCAAAACCTGTACCACGTCACCGTGACCGGAAGTGGCAGCCCAGTATAAAGGTGTATTTTGGCAAGCATCTCGCGCTTCAATGTCATCTCCTCTTTCAAGCAAGTGTGCGGCATATCCAGCTAAGCCAGCCCAAGCAGCGACATGAAGCGCGGTGATGCCCCGGGTTGCATTTCGCGGCCATGCCATAACTCGCCAAGCGGTAAACATCTGCTTTTCCGCAAAAAATGTATCAAGCATGTGGTATACAAGGGCCATATCTGCACCCGCTGAAACTGCGCGACATATGTGAATGTACCAGTTATGCGCTGCATATTCTAGAAATGGGAACTGGAGTTTCAGTTCTCTTTTCTCTTCACCTTTCTGGTCCAGGTATTCCCATTTGTTGGCAGTTTCCTTCATTCGTTGATGAACCAGGCAGCCAGAGCGGAGGTAGTCCAAGCATGCAATAGCCAGGTATTTGTTTGTTGAGCCTGGTTCAAGGATCGGATATGTCGTATCATCCGACTTACTTGAACGGGTGAATCCTTTCAAGAACTCGGTGAATGAGTGGTGAACGACCGAGACCGTCTCATCAGGGAGAATCTCGAGCAGCGGGCCACAAGCGACCCGTACCAAGTCCTTTGTCTCTTTCAGATTGCGATATGTTGTTGGACCTTGTACGCTTCTCGCCATTTCAGCGATCTCGAGAATACGGAGTGGGCGTGTGGCATGGGTAACAAACTGCAAGACGAGGAGTTGCAAATTCTCGGGAACAGCCGAGCGTATTGCATGTTCATGCAAAAGATTATTATACATAACATTCAAGTCAGCCGGCAATACATTGAGGACCTCATGTGCGTCGGCGCCTGGCTCAAGAAATGCATCCATTGAGAGCTTGGCATACAAGAAGAGCCCGTTCGCGCGACCAGGAATGGCCTCCTCTATAATACTCCAGGATTCAGGAGCGATCGACGAGTGGCGAAGTTTGTACTGAACATAGGTTGCGATGTCGAGATCGACAAGCTTCTCTTCCAATCGAATCTGGGGAATGGAAAATGATCTCAAGGAATTTTCAACCATCGATACTGGGCGTGAGGTAATGAAAACCTTGATATTTGACGGGCGCCACTGGCCTAATTCCACCAAAGCGTGGAGGAACTCATCATTCCCCCGATCCATCTCATCCAAGGCGTCTGTGACACAGTAGACCTTGGGTAATGTGACCAGTGCCAATTTGAGGTCTTTCCAGAGATCGCTTGGGGACAAGCTCTCCAAATCACGATGGTCGTTTATGTAATTCTTGAGCTTGACTTGCAGGGGAGGGCTATAATCCAAAAGTTGACATAACCAATCCCGCAGCGCAGCCACAGGCTGATGGTTGGCGTCGATGATCTGTCTGAAAAAGAAAAATATGACTGGTATTCCATCCTTTTGTAACTGGTTGATGATTGAAGCAGCTAGGACAGACTTGCCGGAGCCTGGGATACCTTTGACCCACAACAGTCCATTTTCCTCGCCTTGGTGCCACTGTTGGTAGGTTGTTGTCGACGTGAGCCATTTGCCTGTCCCTGCGAGATATGAGAGGCGATGTCTAGAGTATTCGCCTCGCTCCAAGTCATATGCGGTTGGCTGAAGCCATTTCCTGATCTCAATAATGTCGGTGGGAGGGAGAGGAAGGATGTTGTCGATGTTGAAGTCACGAATATCATCTAGGCCAACCATAACAACATCATTGCCATCAGAATTAGATGGAGACGACATCATTCTTGGTTTTTACTTGTGAGCGATGTTTGTAGAAGTTGAAAAGTGAAAGGAAAGGTCGGGGCCTAATTATGTAAAGCTCTAGCGCGCTTTAGCGTGGAGCTATGGCATTGCTAAGCCCTATAAGGCATAATGCATAGCTATGCTCCAGTGAGGGTGAGTTTTATGCTCACAGATCCCATATCTGACACTTGCGAGTTTGACGAGTGCGACCTGCGCATGGTAGCGGGCGGCAATCTGGTAATGGGGTACTGGCACGGCGGTATAACTAGTACTTAATTGAGCGGTCGCCAAGTTTGTATCTGGTTGTAAATCAAGATGGGGAAGAAACAATGCATTGAGTTGAGAGGGAGGGAGGAGAGAGGAGATCAATCTTAGGCGAGGAGCGAAGGCAGATAATTTCTGCCTCAACATCATTGAATCATCACAACATCTATAAATCGATTATAGATCTGTCTATTTATCATAATACTCTAGGAATCACTCGTTATAATAGAAAATTTGGTTTGTGAGAACCACGCTTTTCACCGTTACTCTCCGGTCTGCGACTACGAATTTCCAATAAATCCTTTTCTAGTAGAATACAAAGATATCCAAAAAGATGCCCAGAAAGAGTTGCAAAAAGGTATTCAATATAATGTCTCTGCGACCATGTCTCTTCGACATGTGGACTCTTCTCACATATCGATCTAGCATATCATCCTGCCCTGTGTTATTGGCCCATACCACCGAAAGGATTGGGCTGGGAATAAATTCGAGTCTTCATGAGCGTTCAATTTGGTTCGATTCATCCAGCAATAGTCGGAAATTGATACAGGGCATGGAAATTTCATACTTGAAACAACATATACAATATTACTTCCAAACTCACAGCCAAGCATAACCCCAAAGCATCAAAAGCTGGTATCCTCCCCTTCGAAGATCCCATATACACATTTAACATTCAATCATAACACAAATTAACAAACCTAAATCTTATCCGAGGAGTACAAACGAATGGACACGCCAAGATCATGCGACATCGTCAGATTAGATAGTTTAATAGGCTCCTGTCGAGGATGGGGGTCCGCATTTTCGAGGGTATCGAAGTGCTGCATCAGACGAACGACGGTGTAGCTCGCTTCAGTGAGGGCGTATTGTTCTAAGGATTGATTGTTAGCCAGCCATTCCAGATGTTCTCCAATATTGCCTCTCCGGAAGAAAGACAAGGAAATGCACAACTTACGACCAAGACAGATACGCGGCCCACCATTGAAAGGCAGGTATTCCCATCCATGTTTAGCATTTTCCTCCCAGCGCTCAGGCCGGAAGGAAGTCGCGTCCTTACCCCATAGATCCGTCCGACGGTGCATAGCGTAGACGCTGTAGGCAACCATGGTGCCCTTCTTGATATAGACCGGGGACTGGTAGTCCGCACCACCACCGACTGGTAGGGATGTGTCTTTGGTTGCAACGCGGAAATTGATAGGTACAGGAGGCTGAAGACGAAGGACTGGGATGGAGTTAGTTGGGTATGCACTGGTACACTATGCAGTATCTACTGCAAAAACTCACCTTCATTCAACACATATCGCAGATACGGGATGGCCTTCAGCCTTGTTTGAGTCATTTCCGACCGCGGGTTCTTCGCGTCTCCGAAAATTTCCACGATCTCACGGCGCAGCCGATTCCACACATTGGGGTGACGAGAAAGGTAGAAGAACGTCGAGCTCAGTAGACTGGCCGTGGTATCACGGCCAGCTAATAGAATATTAAGCATGTTATCGCGTAGAACCTTGGGGTCTTCTGTGTCGGCTGCCAGGGCCTCGAGGAATATATACCGACCGTCGAGGTTTTTCTTCTCCGGATGACGTTTCGACTCCAGAGCGAGATTAACATAATGATCGACGACTTCGTGTACCTGCCGGCTTGCGTCGCGGAATTCCTTTGGATTGACAACCCAGTACATGCCCTGGGCACGACTCCGCGCAGCGAGATAATCCTGAGCGGTTCCGAAGGCATTAGCGAAACCTTGTGCGCTACCGACGCCGCATTTTTCTAGCACGCCTGTCTTTCCTGAAGGGGGGAGCATGCACCCGACCGATTCCCCGAATAGGAAATGCGTTGCCGAGTCTAGGGTCAGTAGGAAAAACAAGCGCTGGATGTCGAAACTACTCCTGTCCTTGGGGATTAGGTCGATCAAGTTGGAGATATGGTCATCCAGCATGGAAAGATCGGCGACCTGTCTCTTTTGTCAATCATATGTCGTACATAAATTCTCCGATAGAGTTTACCTGGTCCCTGGTGAACTGTGGGCGCAATAGTCCGCGCGCATGAGACCACCCTGCACCATCAAGGGTGAAAATACCGTCGCCCAAAAGTGGGTAGAATTGTTGGTGTCTTGTTCCAAGAGAAAAATCTTTGAATTGGGTTGCGAGAACTGCCTTGATATTTTCAGGCTCAATGGTAGTTATTATATTGCGAGAAAGGAATGTCTGTTTGTAGGTATTTCCATGGACAGCATATTCGTTGTAGAGATGATCGATCCAGCGCTTTTCGCGGACAGCCTTGCTTAATCGAATAAAACCTGGAATACCGAAGAAACCTGAGGAGCCCGAGCGGGGAGGCTTGCAGTGTAGGGCTTTGGACTGTTTACGGTGGTGGTGTAACTGTGCGAAGTAGCGCACGACCAAGAAGACCACAGACAGGGCACCAACGAAGACAACTGTAGGGCTAAACAACATTTTGCGTTATTGTATCTCCATAAACCGAAAGAATAAGCAATTAAATATGTGAAATGGAATTGATCTAATTCGCAAAATGCTATATGTTCAGGGCCTCGGTAGAGCTCCACGTGAGAAAAAGTGAGATCGCAAGCTGATACAAAAGGGGAATAGGGCTAAACTATGAGGAAATGATGGGAAGTCCAAATGAGTCAGACCACGTCGATCCCTCGAACTTTTCAAGGTTCCAAGGTTATTGCAAGGTTTAAAGAGTCTTGGCCTTAAAACACCCGAGCCACTCTGTCAAGGCTGTGTGGAAGTAACCCCGGGAAATCGCTCCAGGTACGAAGGTACTGCGGAAATCAAAGCAGTGCTCCGCATTTTTCATGATGTAGCCGAAGATCGTATTTTCCTGCGTCTCCACATTGCACTTGGGGATCTCGGTTGTGAGAGACACACCCTGTGGGGCTAGCCGAGTGCCCTCCGCGAGGGGAGACAAAGTACGCCAGGGATCAAATTGACCGCCGCTCCAGTAGACGTTGGACGGACGAATAGTCCATCCGCCGGTCTCCGCATTGGTGGCGTTAACCAACGGGTGTTTGGGGAACAGACCCTTCTTGATAGCCTCCGGGAAGGCTTTGTTGCAGTATTCCTGTGCATACTCAAGGGTCTGGTATTTCGACAGCAGCGAGCGACGTCCGAAGTTGTTGGTCTGGAAGAATCCCCATTCGGTGCAGTACTGCCACGTCCAGCTGATGGTGTCCGGGTCGCTGGATGGCTGTGACAGATCGCACTTGAGGGGCTCGCTGGCTTCAAGCTTCTTGCAGTTGGTATCCAAGTTCATGTTGACCAGCTGCGTGAAAACTGGCCATGAAGCATAGCGCTCGGCGGCATACTTCTTACCCCGGTGATGGGCGAATCCTTGTGCGGGCGCCGTTGCGTTAGTCTTCGGGTCGATCTCCATGTGTGCGCAGAATGACTCCAGACTGCCCACACCACCGCCCATACCATAAGACTGGAAATAGTTGTAAATAATTGCAAGCGCGGCGCTGAAATCGCCGTTGCTGTTTTTCTCGGCGCCTTCGCCGAAGAATTCCTTCTTGATGGCCGCTGCGGACGATTCGTTCTTCGATAGTTGCTCATCAACGTACCTCAGTGCAGCCTGAATGTCCCGGGTGCAGTTCAAGTGCTCATATGCAACCATGCCGTCGTAAACCTGGTCGAAATAAACGCTCATGTCGATCCGTGCTTCCACGGGGGCGGAGGAAGCGTAGGAAGCGTAAATTGTATCGGGATACAAATGACGGGTAAACGCAGATCGCATGCCAGAGTACGAGCCTCCAACCATGACCCACGGTGTTGCGCCTGGGGTCAGGTCCACATCACTATAATTTCCGCGAGTGAAGTTGGCCGCAAAGTATGGGATGTCTGCCAGAGCCTGTTTGTTGTTCAGGTACTGGAGATGTTCAGGCTGCATGTGCCGGCTGACGTTGTAGGGAAGAGAATCCCCGTAGTATCTACTCGGCGTTAATTAAGACCAGGCTTTCATTAAGGAGATGACACAAACCGGTGCTCCCAAACGATAGCAATTCCACCGAATTCCTTGACCAATTGATAAAAGAACGTAGTCGAATTGGTCAGGTAGGCTTGAGCCGATGATGCGGCAGATGCCTCACCAACATCATACACGAAGACCGGGCCGCCCTCCTTGTAATTCTCCTCGGAAACCCAGTATCGGTTCTGGTATTGACCAACCGAAGAGTTGCTGTGATCAATGGGGAGCTACAAATTGTTAGCAATTATCTCCGTCTTCAACAAACTTGGAAAACATAGACACGTACCGAAACATACTCTGCCGTGACGATCGAATCGAGCTGGGAATTGGCAATAGCATGCACCGTAGTCTTGTGGCCGAGCAGGGTATCCGGATGAACCCCCAGCTCTGCGGAAAGCTTCAGATCGCGCTTGAAAGGCGATGTTACAATTCCAGCAGCTGTACCAGACAGCGCAGCCAGGATGGCACTCCCCCGAACCATATTAGAAAAATGCATATTGACAGTGCCTTACGGGTCCCTCAAAAACCAAGCCAAGGACTCGCGAATGCAAAACAGCTTTCGATTATATCCACTGCTGGGCCCCTTAGGGAATATATATGTATTACGGAGATAGATCAACATTGAGTAAATGATAAGACAAATCAGGGTACGTTAGGTTATTGCCCCGAGAACAATACGATAAGAACAATATGGTTGCGTTTGGGGCAATGCTGCAGTCATCTGGATCATATGGATTGTGGATTCGGGGCACCCGATAGGATCAGCGCAGAGTGGGCACAATCACGCAGGCACACCCGAGACATGACCATCGCGTGCGGCCAGTAGCTGTGACTGTATGACCCCGGCACGAGAGGTTGCAGAGTCTAATTTCTGGGGAGTTCAAATTGAATGTAACCTAGTGAGCACGAATAAGTCGTATGTCTCGAATTAATTGAAGAATTATCACAATTACCCCTCGTTTTTTATTTCCATCGAGGCTTTTTTGCGGTCTAATAATTGTGCATTGCATTAGTGATGTAGTACTCCCCGCTAGCTCATGTTGACTATCATTTCCCGATTCGGTAGGAATGCGATCGTCGACAGATTCAGTCATGAAATCCTGGGATTTTGAAGTTTATCTAAGTTTATCGACCTCAATTAATTGAGTTCCCCTGTCTAAAACTGAGCAACACGCTTCCACTTCCGCATCTGGTTTTACCTAAAAACAGGCACCACGCGAGCTTCTCTCCCCGTACTCCGTACCTGGGGGTGGATCCCGAAAACAGGGTCTGAAATCGAAGTCGATTATTGGTCATTGAGGGAAGCAACGGTCAACCGGACTCCGAACAATAGCCGGAGCTTAGTATTGTTGTGTGGTAATTGTTTAATTAGCTTCCCCGTCTCTCTGCGGACTCAATTCATTGTCTCGGGATCTTCCTAGAATCGTGTCTGGAAACGGTGGGAATTGTGGAATGTTGATCTGGAATGCTCACGACAGGTGGAAAAAGCCACCAATGCTGCGCTACCCGTAGAAACATATTCCATACGGGGTACATAATTCTTTGTGGCTTGATTTGACATGGAACGATTATTCCACGCGATTTTCTTCCTCACGGGGTTCCGGGAGCGGGCCCCTTTTACGATCCTTCTCCCCTCTTTCCTTCTTTCCCTCTTTTCCCCCTTCTTAAGGCATCATGTGACGCGATGGAATAGCTCTCCCGTCAAAAATATATCAGAGGAGCAAAATGGGGGATATGTGTACAACTTAGAGTATGATCTGGTCATGTGAAGGTGGTATATTGATGAGAATACTAGGGCCACGGGTATCATAATATACACACAAAAGGTTGTCTATGTAACAACCTAAGCTTCAGTTTGGGAATATTCAAAACTTCAATATTCAAAAGACTATTCCGTACACGTTATCAATCTAAGTCAAATGCTTCTATCAACTCTGTGCAAGGTTGCACAATAGTTCACCCCTTCCCGTCTTGTGGACATCTCACATGGTGATACAGGCAAGAATGGCACACCTGCAGGGTAGATTGTATCCAATTCTCAATTCAACACCATTCTCGGAATAATGATTTGAGATGAGCCACACTTGGAGCACATTGTGGCGAGAGAAAGGGGGTAAAAGCCACCATGCATCCCAAGATGGAAGGTGAAGCGATACCGCTCGGCACGCCTTCCGCCTATTTCAATCAATCCTCGCATCGCTTTCCCCAGGCTTCTCGGCTATAGAAGTCGGACTCGGCCCGATTTACAAATATGGTCTGCAGATTTTGACATTCTGCAACAGGCGAGAACGTCATACAAATGTTGGATTGTATTCCATAAAGGGTACCTCGTGTCGACGAGCACTTCGGCCGAGTTTCCAACTCTATAACTTGCCAGCGTATAAAGCCATGGCGTCTGACACGGATAAGACCCCTCTTTCCTTACTATTATATATTCTTAAATGACCGTCATCTTGCGAAGGAGGTATTCAAATAATTATGCCGCAATCATTTCGCTTGCAAGACAAAGTAGCTATCGTCACTGGATCTTCGTCCGGCTTAGGACGAGCGATCGCTATTCGCTATGTCCAAGAGGGAGCAAAATTGGTCTGCGCTGATCTAACACCAACTGCGCGATCCCAAGAGGAGGCCGAGATCACGACGCACGATCTAATTGTTAGGGACGGTGGGCAGGCGATCTTTGTGCGGACGGATGTTGGGGACGCAACGCAGATGGAGAACTTAGTCCAAGTCGCTGTGAAAGAATATGGACGATTGGACATGTATGAAAGCCTGATGATAAAAATCTTGAATAACCAATCTGACAACTTCCTTGGTTTGGTCAACAATGCTGGGATCAGCATCGAGGCACGGACGCCTGCTGTACTACATCTGACCGACGAGACGACCTGGGATACGACCATGCGTGTCAACACCAAGTCTGTGTTTCTGGGTTGCAAGTACGCTCTTACTCAAATGTTGGCACAAGAACCTCATTCTTCCGGAGATCGGGGCTGGATAATCAATATTTCTTCCATTATGGGTATGATCGGTGGGCTGGAGAATCGTAAGTTTTAAATCCCCAGTCTGTGGAGCTGAACGTTGCTGATACTTTACCTAGCATCGTACTGTGCATCAAAGGGTGCTGTGAGTAATCTGACGAGGCAGATGGCTCTGGATTATGCCCCAGATAACATTCATATCAACGCGATTTGTCCTGGCTGTAGGTTAATCGATTCAGAGATTGACCAAACTTTCACTAACAAAACTGCAGACACTCAAACGGCTATCTTCAAGGAGACAACTACCAACTTGACTCCTTGGGAAGACCTAAAAAGGCGCCATCCGTTGAAAGGACCTGGGATGCCGGAGGATATTGCTCGTACAGCTGTTGTGTTGGCAAGTGATGACGCCAGCTGGGTGACTGGAGTTTGTCTTCCAGTTGATGGCGGTTATACTGCTCGTTAAGTGATTCACTGTTGGTCTGTTGACGCTTCACAACTTTTTAACAGTTATCCTAGAGCAAAGGACAAGTGTTGAAGCGCTCTCTGGAATTATGAATCCTTTTACAACCCTCAAGATTATTCCTACTTGTATACTGAAAGCTCCTCTGCAACTTATAAGCCTCTTTCGGCCTTTTTATGCCGTCTAGCTATAGATCTTCAGATGTTAAAAAGCGACATGAAAAAGACCACCAAAGGGACTACCAAGGGACTACCGAAAGACATGACAAAGCCGCATAAGGGGTCGACTATTCCAGTATTAATCTATAGTATCAATTGTGGTATCATAAACAAAACGACATAGCAAATTCATAGCCGTACAACGGGCTACGAGACGTGTGAGAACTCATGCAACATATTCTGGGGGTGCAGCCACTGCCGCCCTCGGAGGGCGCGAAGCTCTCTTGCCTTTAGGATCCGAAGCCGCAGCTTGATCAGCCCAATTCCGAATAAGCATAGTCACCTCTGCGCCCCTGCTACGCTCGGAAGGAGTATACCCAATGGAATCCTTAATCTTAGTGGAAGCGCCGTGCTCAAGCAAAAGACGAGCCATCTCCAGATTTCGCGTATCAGCAGCGAGATGAAGAGCCCTCTTCCCATCCCCTCCTTGTTATTCAATAGCATGAAAGTAAACAAAACGGTTCCACATAACCGACCGGGCGTCAGCCACTGCTCGCATCGAATCCATGGATGTTCCAATGCTCCTCCAAGATCCCGAGGTCCCTATTTGGGCAATGAAATCGCCAGTTCTTCCTAGAGAGATAATCTTGTCCGTAAGACATTGTTGATAAACAAGTATGCCTACAATGCAGCGTTAGGTACGAAGACGAACAGCTTCCCATGATAAAGACTAGGTAGACAAGTGCTTTGTTTTACATTTGGAGAACGCGATGTAGACCGAGTATTGTACTTATATGAAGCCTTCGGTCTATAATACTGAATACCTTGGAAAAGCATCAGAGGGACCATCATTGAACTTTTTCTAAGAGGCAGCGCAGCAGTCACTGCATCTTTAGAAGACGCCGATAGTATTTCCCTGATGGCGTGGTTCCAGGACTAAGCAAAGGAATCACCCGCAATCCATCTGGTCAAAATATCGAGGGCCACATCACCGCGGTCCTGAGGAACCTATTATAACCATCAGCATGTGCTCAGATTAACATGTCCGGATAGATAGACTTACCATATGACCCGCCCCATCAACCGTCACAAATGCAAACCGCGATTTCTCTGCCAGCCCGTCCAACTGCACACGAACCTCTTTTGCAGTGCCGACCGGTTCAATACGTCCCGCGATATTTGAAGTCCAAGGAAGCAGCGGCTTTGATGTAAACTCGGTCTGTCCCTTCCAGGCAAGCGAGTTAGCCCACCGGAGGTTTCCTGCTGTATTGCAAGCTAGGTCAAGGTTTCCTTGGTAGGCCAGGAAATCGACCCCATGAGAAAGTAGGAAAATGATATGGTCGGATGAAGACGTCATCGCCTCCGGCGTTGTTGCAAAGGCGTCAGCCACGGCGCTGGACTCAAATCTGTACTCCTTCCCCTGCGGTGGCGAAAGGGCTTCTCGAACCACGGGGGAGTTCAGATACTGCTCAATATAAGCTGCTTCTTTGTAGCACACACCATCTATCTCGCACGGGGCTGTAACTGTTGATTTCTTTGCATTAGGTAAAGTGGCATATTGCGAGTAGATAGGAAGGTCATACTGTCGAACCGATTACGGCCTCCTTTCTTGCTCTCCTCCTCATACAGACCAACGATTTCTTCGTAGCAAACGGAATATACTGCCGTGCAGATTGCAACGTCGGGCTTTACGGTGCAAGTATCGTATAGCTCCATGCATCGCGGCATGTTGGCAGCTATCATATCGCACCGGGTTTGATTGAACACCGGCGTGGAAACGCCAGGATTGGTCGTGCAAAGTGTCTCCCAGTACCCAAAGGTGATATCCTTGGATGACATAAATCCATTACCTATCAGGCATGACTTGAGGTTGATCTGGGGCTCTGAAGGATATTGCTGATTCTGAGTCACGATCTCAACCCCGAGATAGGGGATGTATTTGCCCTAAAGGTGTTAGAAGTGCATACAGAATGGCAAGGGGTAAGTCTCACTGCATAAGATTCACCGGAGATATGGAAATCCGAGAAGCGTTTGTGTGGGAAGATCTCAGATATAAAGATTTGAAGAAAACGGTGCATGTCAACCGCAGCCTCTTGAGAATCGCGCGCGACCTCATAGCCCTCGTCAATATAAGACCAGCCCACATCGGCTGGCTGGTCGACGAAAAGCAATGATGAATTTCGAGACCAGCCCCATGGATTGTGAACGGTTCCATTGCCGTGCTCGTTTATGAGGCATGGCCCGTTTTCTTCAAGCAGGCCCATTATACTAGAGCCTCCGGGCCCACCGTTCATCCACAACGTTAGTGGGTCGGCGATCGGATCATTCTGGCTTTCGAAGTACCAGAAGAACAGGTGCTTCGGGCCAATATCTAACCATCCTGTGTACTGTGCAGATCCCGCGGCACAGATAGACTCGTTTTGTTGTCGGATGCGTACTGAATGGGGTGAATTTGGACTTTGAAACGTGGTGAAGTTCGACCCCGAGGGCTCTGGTCGGAGCACAGTCTGCGAGGCATGACCCACGCCGAGTAGGGTAGCAAGCCAAAACTTCCACATTTTAGTGATGAATGAGGGAATTTGAGAGAGAAGGAAAATAATGGCAAAGCTGGTATTATAATGCCTATTGGTCTGCGTCAGATTAAAAGGTCGGAGTTCGGACCTCGGACCTACCCTCCACTACTCTGTAACGCTAAGAGGCTTAGGGCTTATTCGTTTTTGTCAGGGATTATTTCATGATTACGGATAGTATGCCTGGACCAATCATCCTTCAAATCTGTGAGGCTCTAGATTTGGAGATCTCTGGAAAAATCTCACCTCAGAAAAAGCGAAGAGATCCTCCCCCCCCCCCAATTTCTCCCAGGGCCATCACTAAGTGGTCTACTTTGCAAATCAATTTAGACATCATCTCTTCCTTTCTTCCTATTTTACATCCTTGAAGATTAAAGTTCGCGCTTTGGCAAAAATATTTTATCCTATCTTCGCGCGTTAGAATCAAAGCAAAGAATGCCGTCAGCCCCGAAGTCGTGGTAGGGATGGCAGATACAATATCTTCCGTATCGCCTACATATTCGTTGATTCGGACTGAGATTTCTAGATTTTCCATGACCTTATTTCCCTTTGAAATGTATTATCAGTATAATTTGCATCGGCTTTGATGATCTTGGGGTTGAGGAAGGTGGAGGATGTGAGTCCAGAGGGACTGTTGTGATTGACAGATCTGGACAGTCTGCAAATTTCAGAGACTGCTTCGCCACACGCCTGGGCTGTATTATCTCAGTCGTGGATCATACGCTGCCTCGTGACTTTGTCAGGCATTGGCTGGCATCATGTTTGATAGGTGTTTTCCGCTTTTGTCTTGCAATCTCGGTATATATACTTCAACTGGGTGGTTCCAGGGCTTCCAGAAAACGTGAGAGAGCAAAGTCAGCACTCCCATGGCATCCATCCATGTATGGTTTAGATTGAGACTCTATGAGAAGGCACGGTTGAGTAGAGTCAAAGAGGAAGGCACGGGGAAGGAAGCGAAAGCTTAGGAGGCGTACTTGCCTTGGTATTTTACCTTGCCAACGAAACACGTCTGGGAGAAACTTGGAGCACTGAATATTTCACCTCGCGGCTGGCAAGCGTAAGAGAAGTTAGGTCATTTTTTCTTTGACTTTCCCCTCAGCCGTGTGACCTGACCCTACATCTCTAAGATATTGCCGACATCTCAGGCCAGTGTGTGAGTCTGTTTTGAATCTTACTCCTTGCTTTTTTTTACACGATTTGTTATATGTCAAACTAGGAATTTGACCCCCCTAGGCCCTAAACAGGAACTGAGGTTTTTGTTATGGTCTAATGGTAAAAATGACTGTACTCTTTCCCACATTATACCCTTCAATTTTGACAATATCTTTTACTTCTTATTAGATTTTCTACGTGGCACTCGTACCATATAAGCTGGGATTCGATACCTGCATTTCTCTTAGAGGTGTGGTAGTGGTGTTACGACTTTATGAACCGAAGGTGCAAACACTGTGTAATACTGAGCTGATGATAATCCGTGGTAAGCCTCTTCCCAATGGGGTTAAGGTAGATAGTGGTGTTTAGATCCAGCCAATAAACACGCGTAGAATCTCCATGGTGCCCCACTAGTAGTGTGCGTACTAACCGAATATGGTTAGTGCAACGTCAGCATCAGCCGCTAGGTAGTCTGTTGCGGACTTAAGCATTCGGAACTACGAAACAGATTAGAGGTATATAATAGCCGTTAATCTCCCCCGTCTCACTTTTAACATCCAGCCTTTACATAAATTCCAGCACATTCAACAATTTCCGATATGCATCTTATTCTCACTGGGGCAACAGGGCTAGTCGGGTCTTCAGTGCTCGACGCCATGCTCAAAAACGCAGCAGTGTCCAAGATCTCAATCCTGAGCCGAAGCCCCGTACGAATGGCAGAAGATGCAAAAGACCCACGTGTTCATGTCATCACCCACACAGACTTTGAATCATACAAGCCAGAGCTGCTCGAGCAACTGAAAGATGCGGATGGATGTGTTTGGGCCCTAGGGACAAGCCAGAACAACGTCACCAAAGAGTACGAGAGATTTTGAGACCCCTTTGTTACATATATATTGAAACTAATAATTACTAGGCAATATGTTAAGATAACCAAGGATTATACCATGGCAGCTGCCAATGCGTTTTCCACAATTCAGCCATCAGACCATCCCTTCCGATTCATCCATGTGTCTGGTGAAGGAGCCACCCAGGCTCCAGGGCGATTCTCACCGATCTTTGCGAGAGTAAAGGGCGAGACTGAAACGCTTCTTGGAGCGCTATCAGAGCTAAAGCCAAGCTTTCGGGTCGATAGCGTGAGGCCTGCATTCGTTGATCCGGCAACGCACGATGCCATCAAACCATATATTCCGTCTGCTGGAATCGTGTCAAACATCGGAATAGCTTTGCTTGCCCCGGGTGTGCGGTGTTTCATGAAGTCGATGCATTCTCCAACAGAGCACCTTGGGTCGTTCTTGACGGAAATGGCGATGGGACGCTATGAAGAAAAATTGCAGGGCCCGGGGGTGTTCAGACTCGGAGGGGGTTACATCGTTGAGAACGCTGGTATGCGGAGAATCTTGGGGCTGTGAGCGCCTAGCGGGCTATTATGATAGGAATGGTTTAGTATGTATATAAATGTTTAATAAGGTAATCTTCTACTATTTGTTCCTACTCGTGCCTAATAACCTTGGCATGAATATCACTCCACGGAAGATTGATACGAATTTTTCTCATTGGTTAATCCAGGCCGCAGCTCTCTAGGTTTGACCATGTATGTAAATAGGTATAAATACCTACATTCGCTTTTATATAAGGGGACTATAGGATTCTCGACCCTTGCCCATACCTCATATGGCCATGCCCCAAGTAAGGAGTACAAGCAAGCGTTCAGTTTGAGATGGGCATCCATTATATGTACCTAGCAAAACACGGCGCGCGCTTTTATCGCAAGGTGCAGTATATGTTATCCCGGTATCCTCGTTTCATATCTTCTAGCGATTACATGCTTGGATTATGGTGAACAGGTTAACTTTATTGGGAATAGAAAATCTTGGATTAGAAAATGTGATGCCATAGGGAATGAACGCAAACTAAGGCTAGTATGCTTGATAGAAATCAAGTGCGAAAGACATATGGGTTGACTGCCTACTGTCGGCATATGAAGGTCTCAAGATTGCTGAATACCTCGGTGAGATCGTTGCAACTTCGTCGGCAGCGGTTCGGATAGCAGCTGTCTGTCGGGTTCCCGCCCTGAGATTGGCCGTGATACTTCGTAGGTTTATGCGTAGAGGTGTGAAGAAGCCACAGGAGCAGTGACACTGCCCTGGGGTATCACAAGGTGCTTTGGTCCGGGGGCCTTGTAAAAGTTGCACAGTTCAGATCTGTTCTTCCAATGACAATTGGCACATTCCTTTGGCCAACCCAGGGTATCGATCACGACACACGCATTGAAGGGGCCTTTGTCCTTAAGACAAGATTCATACTCCTGCTCGTTCATTCGTCCGATGCATTGAATGTAGGCAGCCTCAACATTGGCGATGTTCCCTCCAATCTTCTCGTGGAATTCAAAGGCTCTGCGTAGGATTTTTTTCACGTAGGACTGGCTCACGGCGGAGAGCCATTGTGGAAAGGAGTTGTAGTAGCTTCGACTTAATGTACCTGCCCTCTCGGGCACAACCGCAACTCAGCAAACAAATTTGATTTGTGCAGGCACCTGGAGGTAGCTGGCCAGTCCCCCAAATTGGGGCTGGGATAACCATAATGCCCCCAATAGTACGGAAATCCGAGGGGATATCACGCCTATTAATGTCAGTGTAACCCTTGTTGTAGTAGTGAGGAAGTGTTATCTTACTCAGCCATGGTTGAGGTGAGATGAGAGGGTCTATGCCGATCTGGTAAAGCACCCGGTGGTGGTAGGTGATTCGAGATGAAACGGTCAAGGTGAGCTGGAGGAGATGGAAGAAGAAAGAGACATCTGGAATTAGATTGACCTTAGGTAACTAGGAACTCTAGTGCTCACGCGCGACTTGAGAATATGCTCAACGATTTTAGAAAATAATACATGAGAAGCCTAATGAAAAGGATTTTTGAGTTTCTTTACTGCATGTCAACCTTCACGCTACTCAAAGTCGATATATTCTTCGTGAAGCCTTACCACCCCCAGGCGGACGGCCAATCTGAGCGCACAAGCCAGAGATTCAGGGTTGCCCTGCGCAATCAACTCGCTCGTATGAACTGGTGGGCTGAGGCTTCAGTCCATCCTTGAAGAGCCCTGACGTAGATCTTCGAGCAGATTTACACCGCGCGCGGAAGCAGGCGAGCGACCCAGCAGCACACCGCTGACATGTAATCCCAAGCCCCGGCTTACAAAACGGACGCTCATACGCAAGGACCTTCGCATCATCAAAGGACACACACAGAATTCAGAACATACACCTTTCATCAGCGCCAAACGTAGTTGAACGATGTGTAGGGTTGATCGAGATATCAAGAAAACTGGTCCTCAGGCAGTCCATCAGGTCAGATTCTGATAGCCATATATCTTCTTATCTAAGTCCTGAATCACTTTCTGCGCGTCAAATACACTCTTGAAAGGGCTGAGGGTAGGAAAGAACTTCCTGAGGGGGTACCTTCCTTGATCACCGAAGTAGTGTTCTTGTTGATTGGAATTCGGCATTGAAATCTGCATTATATCTCAGTATATATAAAAAAAAATTGTCCGACAAGACTACAAACTGAGTGTTAAAAAAGCCTATATTAATCCACAATTTTCCAATGAATATCCGTCAAGTGTGGAAAGTGAGCTCCACCAATCAAAAAGAAATGATGACCTGAAGGAGAACTAGGGCAAGTCAAGTAAGCCAAGTGATAGGCACTTTTAACACCGCGTTTATCAGCTAAGTCTATTGAACCCCATTTTCAGCAGGAAGGCGTCAAAAAGCGTAACAGCCTTTCAAGTATGGGTGCTGGAATTTCTGCTCACCAATGCGATGTTGTTCTTTGTCAACACAACGTAGCACAAATTTGGATTTTTTTCACCCAATCAACCCCATGTTCTCGCGAAGGTCGGGGTCACAGAACGCTGATCTTGACCTGTGAAAGTGACTCAATAGATAATTATCCTCGTCTGAATAAGAAACCCCCTAAAGAGATATCCTACTGCTTCTTTAAGACATGTCATCAAAGTCACCTCCCTTAGGAATATAAATAAAGAGATGAACAGCACCTATGTTGGAATAACCACGCTACAATCTACTTTTTCTTCTACACACAATGAAGTATTTCCAATTTGGCAACATGCTCGCTCTGTGCAGCATAATCTTGGCGTCTGCGATTCCAGATGCCTCTGCCACTAATATAAGTGCCTGTACCAAGACAGGGGGTGGACCAATGAAACCAATTGTACCAGGCACCGAGTGTGGGCAATTCCCCTAAGTCTGGACTCCACATTAACAGGTATGCTCGTGGAAGTTATTTCTCAATGTTCTTACAACATGTTCTGAGACAACAACTTACTAGTCTACTAGCCATGCTGCCAAGCGTGTCTGACCTACTTGGTTGGTCCGCTCCTCCGCCTCGGTAATTGCTTTCCAATTTGGAACGCATCTATCTGGTTCGGAAATGCCGGATTTTGATTTTTTTGGTTATTTGTGGCTTTCAATATTTGGGTTATTTTTGTAACAGTCTATCTTGTATGACCCAATATCTCGGGATATCACGCTCCTTTCTTCATTGATGATGTGTGTGATGGCTAGGATTCATTTCAATCTCAGTCCTTTCTCGAACAGGCGATGGCTCTATGTACTAGTAAACACCATGTTTGTTCATCCTTTTGATTTATTATGGTTTATGTATCTTTCTTGATCTCTTGGGTTTCTCAGTTTGTAGAATCCAAGAGCGAACGAAGGAGCTATATTTAGATTGGATAAATTCCGGGATGTGCTTGCTTTGGCCTGGGGCTCAAGGCAGGGGCTTGCACTCTTAACAGCATTGACTGCATAACAGTGAACTCCTCCTGTTTTTTCCATTTGGAAATTTTGATTTATAAGCGCGCTACTCCCTATGTTGTAGGTATTCACCTCCTGGATACTACATACGGAGTAGCATCCGATGGCTGTATCGGCCTGTCGGGACAATATATTCCGCACTTTGGGGATGGGAAGGATTCTTTTCCGGGAGGTTAAAATAGTCGGAGAATTTACCCATTTGGATTAAGAGATCCATTGAAACATCAATATGTTTCAGAAATCAGACTCTTCGATCAATACTCCGTACGGGGTCACCCCACACGGAGTTGGAGGGGCTCTTGGCAAGGCTGGGATCTCTGAAGTCTTGGGCGGGATTTCGTACCCCTATGTGCCGCTCTGTTTATACATACCGCCTGCCTATTAAAACACTCCCGCCCTCTCAACACCCGTCACGTGCCTGTTTTTGCCAGGCAGAACTGGCATAATTTTGAAGGCGGTATGTACAAAATCCCGCCCAATGCTATACTTCCACTCTACGAGCTGTTTACGAGCTATGTACTGTCCGGGGAATTTGCAGCCCTCACTGAAGCTAGCCTTGTGCTTATCTTCAACGAGCAACCTTTTTGTCGAGTCTGCAGACTGTCCGTTGCTGGAATGGAAATCATGCAGCCACCAAGGGGCAGAAACGCCATTGGTGGAACTATGAGCAAATCCACGGAGCACTCTGCAGAAACGGAGCTTCAGCCAGCTAATCTCCACCTTCCAATATGCATTGTTTCAGTATGAAGAAACAAAAGTACTATCCTATATATTATGCTGTTTGTCTGCCCTTCAATGCCTATTATGTGACAATAAGTTTATCTACAATACTCGTTGGACATAATGCTTTTCAAGTCCTTGGCCATTGCTTCGCTAGCCCTTTTGGCTGAGCAAGCGTCCGCGGCCTTCGGGATTACTACTAGCTCTGTTTCCTATGTGATTGATGCTGGCTCATCAAACCCCCTCCAGTTTACTGTCAGCCGGACAAGCTGCGACATTACTTCCATCAATTACTATGGATCCGAGCTTCAATACAAGTCAACTGGTTCTCATATCGGATCGGGTCTTGGTAGTGCAACTGTGTCTGCGACTCAGAGTGGTGAGTTGAGAAAGAGGATGTGTGTTGGAAAATGTGCTGATCAATATAGGCGACTATATCAAAGTGACCTGCGAAACGTCCACCTTGACACATTACTATGTTGTCCACAAGGGAGATTCGATCATCCACATGGCGACATACACAACTGCTGGTTAGTCGTCCCCTTGTTTCTCAAATGTAGTGTCTATATTAATTATTTTCTTCAGAGCCCACCATCGGAGAACTTCGATACATCGCCCGCCTAAACGCAGACCTACTCCCCAATGAAGAGCCGTTCGGCGATGTGTCCAATATTGGAGGTGGTACTGTTGTTGAGGGAGAGGATGTGGTAAGGCTCCTATGAAGCCTTCTTTTAAATACAAACAGCTAACATATATCAGTTTTTGGTTAATGGACAAACGCGAAGCAAGTTCTACTCTAGCCAACGGTTCATTGATGACAATATCCACTGTAAGAACACCCCTATCCGGTTTGATGCGATTTATCATAACACAAACAGGTGTTTCCGGCAGCGCACACCGCGTATGCATGATCTTGAACCAATACGAGACATCCGCTGGCGGACCTTTCCATCGGTAAGCTCCTCAGCCCACATGACCTGATCCAGGCTAATATGCACCAGTGATATCAACACCAACAATGTCGGCTCTTACATTGGCCTATACTGGTACATGGTATGTACTCACTGTGGCTCACCTAATAACGGACTCTTACTCTATACAGAACTCCGGACACGTTCAGACCGAGAGCTACCGCCAGGGCTTGCACGGCCCGTACTCGATGACCTTCAGCCGGAGCGGTACCCCCAGTTCCAAGCTTGACACGTCGTTCTTTGCCGACCTCGATATCAAGGGATACGTCGCCACATCTGGTAGAGGCTATGTCAAGGGTACAGCATCCGGGGCTGACTCGGCTTTCAAATGGGTTGTTCACTGGTATGTTCCATGCAGATCGTCTGGATGAGCACATATCTAAGTTCAAGACAGGAAAAATGATGCTGCACAGTACTGGACCTACGCTTCGTCTTCTGGTGCTTTCACTTCCCCTGCCATGAAGCCCGGCACCTACACCATGGTGTACTATCAGGGCGAATATGCCGTTGCCACCTCTTCGGTGACTGTTACTGCCGGATCAACCACGTCGAAGAGTATCTCCGGGTCTGTGAAGACCGGAACAACAGTCTTCAAAATTGGAGACTGGGATGGAACGTAAGTGAATTGATTTCAGTTCATATAACCGTTCAGATATTGACTATCCATAGACCAAACGGCTTCCGAAATGCGGCCAACCAGCTCCGCATGCACCCCTCCGATACACGCATGTCATCCTGGTCTCCGGGCACTTACACAGTCGGAACCTCTCAAGTCTCTGATTTCCCAATGGCTCTCTTCAAATCGGTGAATTCACCTATGACAATCAAATTCACGGCATCTTCTTCACAGACCGGGGCTGCGACTCTGAGAATTGGCACAACCCTTTCCTTTGCATCTGGCCGGCCCCAGGTTACGGTATGTTCAAGCTATCTTCCCTCTATTCAAGCCCTTGGCATGCATCTGACGCTTTACATAGGTCAACAGTTATTCCGGCTCCATCCCGTCTGCCCCGACTAACCTCAACTCCCGTGGCGTGACTCGCGGCGCGTACAGAGGTTTTGGCGAGGTTTACGATATTTCAATCCCGGCTGGAACTATCGTCTCTGGAACTAACACTGTAAGGACCTTTGAGCCTAGTCAGATGACATAATGCTAATTTCGCTCAGATCACCATCAGTGTTGCTTCTGGTAGCTCTGGAGTTACTTACTTGAGCCCGAACTTTGTGAGTACTTTTCTAATTATCTCGTCTTTTCGATGGAAGCTTACCTATCTCAATAGATCTTTGATTGCGTGGAGCTCTTCCAGTAAATTTTCAGACCAACAGTTGAGTTTTGGAACACAGCAGAGGAGCAGAGGAGCAGAGGAGATGTTAATTTGTGTATATATCTTTCGAAATAGCAAGAATGCGAATGGCGGTGTCTTGCACAGGATCACATAACTTGCTGTAGTATTGATTGCCCATAGAAAGGAAGGAAGGATTAATACCAACATAAAACAAGTTGTCATAAATATAGACTAGAATCTAAAACTGAGATATCATATGTAGAAAGGAAATCTAATCCTGAAAAATGCAAAGAAAACGATCTATTCAAACCCTTGAATGGACCAACCTCCCCCCAACCCAGACAGCCTTCACATTCCGATCATCACCACTCCAAACCCACTTCTGAATCTTCTCCTCCCAACTCTCCGTCCCAAATAGATCAACATTCCCCACAGGACCAGCCTTCACAAGATCCGCACTCCCATCACCAGGAGCAAAATCCAGCGGACTCCTTTCCACCAACTCAACCCCACCAAGCCGAATCAACTGCACATCCCACAACATCCCCATATCAAACCCACCAACATCACCCGCCATATCAACAACCGCCGCTCCACCACGCGTAGCAAGGTAAAGACTTTCCTCGACAGACAATTTCTCCCGCCCATCAACACCCTTCGGATGATCCCTCTGCCACGCAGAAGATTGACCCAGCAACCGCGAAGCAAGACAGGCCTGCCGCGCCGCCTCAAGAATACTAGGACTATAACCCCCACTAACATCCGTCCCTAGCCCAACTGTAATCCCCTCGTCAAGCAGCGTCCTAACAGGACAAATCCCAGACCCCAGCGCCGAATTCGACGCCGGACAGTGCGAGATCTTCGCTTGACGCGCGCGGATCAGAGAACGCTCATCTGCCGTGAGATGCACCGCATGCGCGAGGATCGTGCGCGGTGTCAGCAAGTTGTATTTATCATACACGGCGGCGTAGCTGTCTGCCTCAGGGAAGAGCTCCTTGACGAGCGCGATCTCGTTGACGTTCTCCGAGATATGCGTCTGGATATGCAGTGTGGGCGAGTAGCTTGCTGCTAGTTCGCCGAGGCTCTGTAGCGCGGGTCTCGTGCATGAGGGCGCGAAGCGCGGTGTGATAATCGGCTTCACGAGCTTTCCTTCTGGGTCCAGGGTGTGGATGTATTCGATTGTCTGGCGGGTTGCGACGATGGAGTCTTCTGCGCTGAAGTCGCGGTAGTAGTCTACGCAGAAGTCCGGGTTGTCCATGCATGCGCGGCCGATGAAGGCGCGTTGGCCGCGGGTGTGGCAGAGGTATGAGAGGGCGTTTGTGGCTGGGACGTGGTTTGTTGCATAGTAGGAGGCACAGGTTGTTCCATGGGATAAAGTGCGGGAGATTACTTGGTCGTAGATTTGCTGGGCTGGGAGTGGTGTGTCTTTGGGGTCGGTTTGGGTTTGGTGTCCTGTTTTTGGGTCTGGTGCGGACCCGAAGCGTGACTCTACTGGGAATGTGTATGTCTCTAGCCAGTCTAGAAGTGTTGATGAGCCGAAAAGGCCCGCGTTACGGTATTGCGGGGCATGGATGTGGGTGTCTGGATTGATATGTAGTTAGTATCGAGACTTAGGCTCCGGGACTTGGTTGGGGTTTAGGATGTAATGCATACCAATAAAACCGGGGAAGAAGAACTCGTTTTGTTCCTCGTTTGCGGTAACAATCTTCACTCTGATGTTCGAACCATGACCATTGACTTGCCCCTGGGCCTCAACAGCGTCGATATCAACCCACCCACTCCGGCGCATCAATTTAGTGAATCCATTCTCATCACCGGCATGCCAGTCCCAACCTTGAATGCGGCCATCAACAGCAGAGACCCATAATGCGCCTTGATTGCGAGACAATTTAGGCTTGGAGTTCGAGTCTGACAGGATTGATTGAATGAATGTGCCGCGGTAGACAGTAAAAGCATAGTCTGTTTCCAAGCTCACATCGCTGGTAATAGACCCCATATTGCCGGTTAGATATTTAAAAAGGTCAATTATTGGTATAGATATGATCAAGTTGAGGATGAATATCTGCAGTGGTGTATAGTGCTTTCTAGAAAGCAACTAGATCAGAAGTATTGGTGTATATTATAGATGAAAAACGCAGATCAGGCTCCACAGTGGAAATAAAAAGGCCGAAGAAACAACTCAAAGTCAACAAGAGCAGAAAAGAAGGTCGGACACAGGTTCATATATCTGTCTTCTAGTTGATTCTTCTCGCTACCTATTGCCAAGCGAGGGGCACAGATAGGAAGTACTGCCTGGAAACAGTGGACCCCGAGCTGTGGAGAATTTCAAGCTTGTTCCTGCTGGATTCGAATGTTCCCAGTGTTCCTTCAAGACATTCAAGACCTAAATTGACGGGGTGGGGTGGGTTGAAGCGGGTTGGCTGGATGATTAGGGCCACGGAGATTATTGGGGAGAGCGGGGTCGGCCGTCTCCGATAGTGATACATGGGGGATACGGTATTTGGAGCGGGTGAGTTTCTTTACGATAGGGTAATTTAGTATGTTGCGGTTCTGTATGGTAACGAGCCTCCGATAAGGCCGAAAGCCTCAAGTTTGTCAAACAAGTAAATAAAGATTGCGATGGTGATAGTCGTTACTGTTTACGGAGTAGACAAATTTAATTTAGATGTTGTCTTAAACTGGAAGCGACTTGAATGTCTAGAACACTTTTGATTCTTTGAATTGTATTATTCTTAGCTTCCATGGATACTGGATGATTATGTTGAATCAATCCAGCCCTCGTAAGGACATAGTCTGTAGGTAGTCTTTTTCTACCGTCATCAAAAATAAGAAATGTTGAATGTATACACAGAAAAGGTGGGCATCAGAAGAATGAGCCCCCATATGAAATAACGAAAAGCAATCAGCGCAGCATGGGTATCATAGATCTTTATAGATCTGTCTCTATTCAGTGTCCTCGACAGGCCCGCAAGTGCAGAACAAGTTCTGGTCGCCAAAGGCATCATCGACACGAGTCACAGTAGGCCAGAACTTCTTCTCCAAAAGCAAAGGCAACGGGTAAGCAGCCTGCTCACGAGTGTAAGGGCGGTCCCACTCAGAGGTGAGCAGGTCGCGCTGAGTGTGGGGGGACATCTTCAGCACGTTACCCTCGCGAGGCTGGGCACCAGACTCGACCTCGCTAATCTCCTTGCGAATGGAGATCAGGGCATCGCAGAATCGGTCGAGCTCGGCCTTGTTCTCGGACTCGGTGGGCTCAATCATGAGAGTGTTGGAGACGGGCCAGGACATAGTAGGGGCGTGGAAGCCGTAGTCCTGGAGACGCTTGGCGATATCGATGGCCTCGACACCGCAGGTCTCCTTGAAGGCGCGCACGTCGAGGATGAACTCGTGTGCGCAGCGGCCGTGGTCATTGGTGTACAAGATCGAGTAGTAGGGCTTCAGGCGGGAAAGGATGTAGTTTGCGTTGAGCAGGGTGATCTTGGTAGCGTGGGTCAGGCCACGGTCGCCCATCATGTTGATGTAGTTGAAGGTGATCGGCAAGATGCTAGCACTGCCCCAGGGAGCAGCGGAGATGGGAGGGGAGGAGGTGTCACCGCGCTTCGACTGCAGGTACTCGCTGGTGGGGTGCGAGGGCAGGAAGGGACGCAGGTGCTCGCCGACACCGATGGGTCCGACACCGGGGCCACCGCCACCGTGGGGGATACAGAAGGTCTTGTGAAGGTTCAGGTGGCACACGTCGGCGCCGATCTCACCAGGCGAGCAGAGACCGATTTGGGCGTTCATGTTGGCGCCGTCCATGTAGACCTGGCCACCGTGCTGGTGCACCAGGCGGCAGGCCTCCTTAGCACCGGGCTCAAACACACCGAATGTGCTGGGGTAGGTGATCATGAACGCAGCCAACTCATCCTTGTGCTTCTCGCACTTGGCCTTGAGGTCCTCCAGGTCGAGATTACCGGTCTTGGTATCACACTTGACGGTCACAACACGCATACCAGCCATGGCGGCACTAGCCGGGTTGGTACCGTGAGCAGAGACAGGGATCAAGCACAGGTTGCGCTTGGCATCACCCTTCGCCTCAAAGTACTTCTTGATAACACGAAGGCCGGCGAACTCACCCTGGGCACCCGAGTTGGGCTGCACAGTAACCTCGGCCATACCAGTGATATCGGCCAGCTGCTGCTCCAGATCGTCAATCATCTTTGTGTAGCCCTTAGCTTGCTCGGCAGGCATGAAGGGGTGAATCTGGGAGAACTCGGGCCAGGAGACAGGAATCATTTCCGTGGTAGCGTTGAGCTTCATGGTGCAGGATCCGAGGGGAATCATGGAGTGGGCCAGGGACAGATCCTTCGATTCAAGGTGGTGGATGTACCGGAGCATCTCAGTCTCGGAGTGGTAGGTGTTGAAGACTGGGTGGGTCAGGTAAGAGGAAGTACGCTCAAGGCTGGCGGGGACAGTGGTGAGACCAAGAGTGCCATCGACCTCGACGGGAGAGGCAGACTTGTGAGCAGCAAACACGTTCAAAATGCCCTTCACCTCATCCCGGCCAACAGTCTCGTCCAGAGAGAGACCGACCTTGTTTCCGCCCAGACGGCGGAGGAAGACAGAGGCAGCGCGAGCCTCGGCCATGATGGCATCAGCCTCCGCAGCACTGGACAGTTCAATAGCCAAAGTGTCAAACACAGCGCCACCATCAGCGCTGTTGGAGCGGACCGGGACATCATAACCCAGGCTGACAAGCTTCTCGCGCAGCAGTGAAGTCATGGACATGATACGCTGGGCAATGGACTTGAGACCAACAGGGCCGTGGTAGATAGCATACATGGCAGTCATATTGGCAAGCAAAGCCTGAGCAGTGCAAATGTTGCTAGTAGCCTTCTCGCGGCGAATGTGTTGCTCGCGGGTCTGCAGAGCCAGACGCAGAGCCCGGTTACCAAGGCGGTCCTTGGACACACCAACGACACGACCAGGCACCTTGCGCTTGTACTTATCGGCACAAGCGAAGAATGCGGCGTGGGGGCCACCGAAGCCCATGGGAACACCCAGACGCTGGGCACTTCCGAAGGCAATATCAGCGCCAAACTCGCCGGGGGCCTTCAGAACGGTCAAGGCCAGCAGGTCAGTGGCTACGCTGAAAGTACCACCCTGGCCGTGGATAGAGTCACTCAGAGCCTGGAATTCGTAGATACCTCCCTCGGTATCGGGGTACTGGGCAAGGACACCGATCAGGTGGTCCTTCTGGTCCTTGACGATCTTGAAGTCATCGGCCAAGATATCTCCAATCACGAGGTTGATTCCGAATCCCTCGGCACGGGACCGCATCACTGCAATGGTCTGGGGGTGGCAGAGGTGAGACACAACGAAGGACTTGTCGGCCTTCTTCTGCTTAGAAGCGGGCATTGTGGCGAAGGACATAGTCATGGCCTCGGCAGCGGCGGTGGCCTCGTCCAAAACTGAGGCATTGGCGAAGGGCAAACCAGTCAGATCAGCTGTCAGGGTCTGGAAGTTGAGGAGAGACTCCAGACGGCCCTGGCTGATCTCGGGCTGGTAGGGTGTGTAGCTGGTGTACCAGGCAGGGTTCTCGAGAACATTACGCTGAATGACGGGGGGCACAATGGTGGGGTAGTAGCCGGTTCCAATATAAGTCTTGCCGGAGATATCAATCTGCTTCCTGTAGGTGTCCAGCAGCTTGAGCATATCGGTTTCGCCCAAACCACCCTGCACACTGGAGCGGTACAGGCTGATATCGGCGTGGGGCTCGGAGACCTTGAGATCCTTCTTGGAAAGAATGTCCTCGGGCAGGACCTGCTTCACGAAGTCATCCAAGGATGCCACCGGCGGGTCGAGCACGGCGAGCATCTGTGCCGCGGCCTCGGGGGAGGGCCCAATGTGGCGGCGGGGGAAGGTATCGAGAGGCTGGAAGATATCCTGGGGGTGGGGATCTCCATGGTCGGAGATGGAGCTAGTATATACACCACGACGGGTCGCGGGCTGCGAGGTATTCAATGCTCTCCGAGTGTTCAATGGTGACAATGAAGCTCGGGCAATTGTAGGTACGCGAACACGCGACCGCAGAGCAAGCTGGCGGCCGCCGCGAAGGGCAAACAGGGATGCCGCCATACTGAGACCGGAGGATAATGAGGGCTTTTAGGGAAAGCACTCAACACATCCACAAGTAAGTCAGTAAATCAATGAGTCGGGAGAATGAAGAAGACAAAAGTGCCAGAACTGTAGAAATTAATATTTATTGCCCACGCTTCTTGCCTTTTCCCTGTCCGATTGTCCGATGACGGAGAACCTGTCGGGAAACATACAGCGGCGATAAGAAGTTACAGGAACCCTTCTTATCTGGCCAATCACAGCTGTTGTAGTTTGCCATCGGCCCCAGCTGGACCACTGACCGCCTTCCAGGTGGAGCAAATGGCCGGTTTCCCGTCGGGAAAGTCGCTGTACATCTACTCCACGAATTCCCCCACCGAGGGGGAAAGCTCCGGCGGTCTCATAGCTTTCCTTGAGCTTCGGTTTATGCGGGTCATTTAGGAAATATTAAAAATGGAAAAGGCCTGCTTTCGCATTACTATCTGGATACCATCTAGGACATGAATATTCCGTCGACCTCAAATCGTATAACGGAAGGCCGCATCGCCCTCAATGACTCGCTTTCCCCGGTCCGCTTGCTTATTACAGATCCGGAACCACAGACTCAAAGAAAGAACAAGCAAGATGATCAGAATGTTACACCTGGTGAAACAAAGTCAGTACACGAACACAATCTGAGACACAGGGGAAGACCTACGCGATAGCGGCATACATTCCCGGTCGGTAACCGGGTGCGTCCTGTTCCCGGAACACCAAGCTACTCACGATACCACCGAGACCTCCGAAGCCTACAAGCGTAGCGCTGGAGAAAGCGCGCGTCCACTGGCCACGCACATTGTTCGCCTGATACGCCATGCAGGCTGGGATATTAGCATTAGCGCCAGCAACTGTGAAGAACAC